TTAACCACTGAGCCACATCCCCAGTCCTTTTTCTGTATTTTATTTAGAGACAGGGTCTCACTGAGTTGCTTAGGGCCTCACTAAGTTGCTGAGGCTAGCTTTGAACTCACAATCCTCCTGCTTCAGTCTCCCAAGGCACTGGGATTACAGGTGTGCACCACCATGCCCAGCCAAAGTGGAATATTTTGAGGTGGCATCTTCTGATCCATTTTACTTTGTCATACTTTTCAAATGCCAGGACCAGAAATCTAGCAAGCCCTGCATCAATAAAGCCTCCTTTTGCAGGTATAAGCAACCTCCGCTCTGGACTGTGGGTAAAGCACTTGCCTAGCATGCATGAAGCCCTGGGTTCAATCCTCAGCAAAAAAATAAAAAATAAAAATTCACTCAAATTTAGCCCCCAGAGTGATTCTCAGACCCAGAGTAATCACAGTACCTGGCCTGTTTACCTACATCCACTTCTTCAGGACATCCAAGAGGAAACCCATAGATGATGCTCCTAAACTTGGGAGGCAGCTACAGAAAACATATCTCAGGTGATTGTTACGATCCACCCCCATTCCTTGACAAGAATTTATGTTTTGTGAGTCCTTACTGCCCTCTCTGTGAACTGCTCCCCACTAATAGGTCTGAGATCCGGTAATTAATTTAGTAGCATGTGTCTTAATGTTCCCTTTACCTGGCTGGTAGGCCTTAAGGAATGGACCTGTGGCCAGAAAAGCCAACGTAGACCCTGAGCCCAGACAAGCAGATTTTCTCCTTCTGTGAATTTGGAATTGAGATGGGGATAGAAGGTTAAGATATAGTAGCTAGGGCTGGGGATGTGGCTCAAGCGATAGCGCGCTCGCCTGGCATGCATGGGGTGCTGGGTTCAATCCTCAGCACCACATAAAAATAAAATAAAGATGTTGTGTCCACCAAAAACTAAAAATTAAATATTAAAAAAATTCTCTCTCTCTTAAAAAAAAAAAAAAAGATATAGTAGCTATGCACTGGGGATATAGCTCAGTTGGTAGACTGCTTGCCTTGCATGCATAAGGGCCTGGGTTCAATCCCCAGCACCACACACACACACACACAAAAAAAGATCTAGTAGCTACAATCACTGGACCTGGAAGGTCAGGCAGAGTAAGCAGGTCTGGGGAGAGAATGTAATAGATAGTCCAAGATGTCCATAATCCAAGGTGTCCAGGCCTTCAAGAGATGACACTCAAATCTCTAGTTCTTGACTCAACAGTCTCAGCTTTCTGAGACTAAGGTCTGGCTGTACTTCCTGGGATTGCATTGCATAATGGGTGGGTCCCCTTTTACCAAGTAATTCCAGAGTTTCTGTTACTTAGAACCAAAAGATGACTAAAATACTGACTTTTTTTTTTTATAACTTGTCCAAGTTATAAAACTTGTCCAAGTTATAAAAAGTTTCTTCAGGGCCTGTGTACTGACTCTGGCTTCCATCCTGGAGTTCAGATCTTGAATGACAAGTCTCCCATGGGCAGAAGTCCTAGGGCAGCTCCCCCCAGAACTCAGTCCATAATTCCTTACATCTGGAACTGTGTTCCAGCCCAAACAGTAAACCATATGGTAGCTGCAGATCCCTTCCCAGAAGTAATAATAATGATAGCTGCCATTTATTGAGTGTTCATCCTGTGTCAGACATGATGTTATAATAATTTCTAGCCCTTAAAACAAGAGTTGGAGCCAGAAACAGTGGGCACATGCTTGTAATCACAACTATTTGGTAGGCTGAGGCAGGAAGACAGCAATTTCAAGCCTAGCCTGGGCAACTTAGTGAGAACATCTCAAAAAGTAAAAAAGGTTGAGGATGTAGCTCAGTGGTAGACAACTCCTGGGTTCAATTTCCCAGGACCCACAAAAAAAGAAAACCAAACAAATTAAAAAAAAAAAAAAAAAAAAAAAAATAAGTTGACTAAGTTGGCTTTAAATATTTTTTATTATTATCTAAATTAAATATACATGGTAATCAAAGTAAGTATAAATGTCTATGGCTTATAAACTTTCTATAAATTTCTATAAATAGGAAGCCAAAAAAATTGCCAACCCAAACTATTAAAATTGATAAAAAAAAAAAAAAAAGATTTGATGTTGCCTGTTAGTATTTGGCTGAATTAAATTGCAGATACTGAACTGATTAAAAACAAAGCAAGTTGGGCACTGTGGCACATGCCTGTGATCCCAACAACCCGGGAAGCTGAAGCAGGAGTATCACAAGTTTGAGGAGAGTCTGGGCAACTTAGTAAGACCCTCTCTTAAAATAAAATTTTAAAAAGTTTAAAAAATTTTAAAAAGGTTGTGGCTCAGAGGTAGAGCACCTACCTAGCATGTGTAAGGTACTGGGTTCGATCCTCAGCACCACATAAAAATAAAATGAAGATAGTGTGTGCACTTATAACTGAAAAGTAAATATTTTTAAAAAAATTTTAAAAAGGGCTGGGGATGTAGCTCAGTGGTAGAGCTCCCCTGAGTTCAATCCCCTGCACAAGGAAACAAAGCAAAACAAAAACCACAATTCCCTATGACTCCATTGTAGATGAGAAAACAGATTCCTAGAGAGGTGAAACATGTTTCCTGATGTCAAATAGCTAGGTGTTAAAAAATCAACCAGGATAACTGACGAGTGCTACTACTTGAATTTAAGGTCTAATTACCAGAGTCTCTGGTTGCTCCTTCATTTAAATGATAGCTAATGAATGGGCAGAGACAGATCTTGTGTTTTCTAAAAATACTCAAGGCCTGGGGCAGGTAAGTAGTTGTGGAAAGATTTGTTGAATGAATGATTGAATGAGTGGATTTGGAGATAGTTATTTAAGAAACAGTTGGCTCCTAGACCATAACTCAGAACTCTCCATTTACCATTGCTGCTAGTAGCCCTTCCCACCTTGCTACCCAGAAGCTAGTCTAATGGCATTAACCATCTCAGCCAGTCCTGATACCATTAAAAGCTTCAGTCTAGCTACTGTGCCCCCACCCCGTCTTGGCTCTGGGCCCTGGGCTGGTCTGGTTGTTTACCAGCAATCTGGACCTTCTTCAGAGAAAAGCATAGATGACCTATTAGTCTAATTCAAGCACTTAGCAAGGAATGTCTGTATTGTTCACACCCCCAGCCCCAAGCTAATGGAACCAAGCAAATAGAAAAGCCTTGACTCTCAGAGATCTTCCTGGGAGGGGAGGAAGGAGGAAGAAAAGTGGACCCAGTGCCCCACTGGAGTTTGTAGGGAGGTAACTTGGCTGAGCATTTCCTGGGGCTGGGCAGGCTATGGGGATACAAGAATGCACAGGGAGAGGCTTGCCCATTCCACCCATCACTCTGGCAACTCTTATACATATCCCATTCCCAGTTACCTCCCTCACTGCCTTAAAACTTGGCTCGAGAAAAATGCAGAGTAACATGGTTTGTCCTGGAAAAAAATCATATTGAAGTGTAATCCCATTGTGAGATATTAAAAGGGTAGAACTTTTGGGAGGTGATTAGGATTAGATAAAGTCATCAAGGTGGAGCCCCCATGATTGAATACTGGTAACTTTATGAGAGAGAGAGAGTGTGCACAAGAGAGAGACACAGACATACATGTGTGCTCCGTGTCTCTCTTGCCTTGTGATACTCTGTGCTACCTTGGGACTCTGCTAGTGAGAAGGCCATCACAAGATGTGGCCCCTCAACCTTGGACCAGAATCATAAGCCATAAGTTTGTTTTTTGATGCTGGGGATTGAACCCACTGAGCCACATTCCATCCTCAGCCCTTTTTATTTTTTGTTTTGAGACAGTGTCTTGCTGAGATGCTGATGGTCTAAGTTGTTGAGGTTGACCTCAAACTTGAAATCATACTCTTTTTTTTTTTAAATTATTTTTCGGTTTTAGGTGGACACAATTTTTTTTTTTTTTTAGAGAGAGAATTTTTTAATATTTATTTTTTTAGTTCTCGGCGGACACAACATCTCTGTTTGTATGTGGTGCTGAGGATCGAACCCGGGCCGCACGCATGCCAGGCGAGCGCGCTACCACTTGAGCCACATCCCCAGCCCCTGGACACAATATCTTTATTTTACATTTATGTGGTGCTGAGGATCAAACCCAGGGCCTCGCACATTCTAGGGGAGCACTGTACCACTGAGCCACAACCCCAGCCCTGAAATCTTACTGTCTTAGCCTCCTGAGTCACTGGAATTACAAGCATGTGCCACCATGCTCAGCTTCTTTCCTTTTTTTAAAAAAAAATATTTTGAAAGCTGAGACTTAGTGAGACCCTGTCTCAAAATAAAAACAAAATTTAAAAAGGGATGGGAATGTGACTCAGTGTTTAAATGCCCCTGGTAAAAAGTCTTTTGAGATAGGGTCTTGCTACATTGAACTCATGATCCTTCATGCTCAGCCTCCCAAGTAGCTGGGATTACAAACATGTGTCACTGCACCCAGTCCCATAGTACTACAAATAAATTCTTCTAACTGCATGGGTGGGTGTTTCCTTACTCCAATAGGATTACAAATTTCCTGAAATCACGGGCCAGTCTCTGCTTTTCTCTGGCCCCCAATATAATCTGGAGCAGGTGCTTAGTAAATGCTGTGGTGACTAAGGGCCCCCATCTCAGGTGCTGTGGCAATCACATATAGAATCCCAGAAATGGCTAAAATTGGGATGTATACAGGTCTATAGCCCCCTCTAAGCTATTTTTCATTCCAATTCATGTCAATAACACAGGGGCTGAGGGGCTGGGGATGTGGCTCAAGCGGTAGCGCGCTCGCCTGGCATGCATGCGGCCTGGGTTTGATCCTCAGCACCACATACAAACAAAGATGTTGTGTCCGCCAAAACTTAAAAAATAAATTAAAAAAATATTTAAAAAGAACACAGGGGCTGAGAGCCTTGCCTGAAATCATATAGCAGTTGTGTCTCTTCACCATCTGGCCTGTATCCTTGTATCTATAACATCCCAAATTATGGAAAAATTCAAAATTTGATAAAATGGGAAAAGAGCATAAGTCTTGGGTCAAAATGTTTAATCATGATCCAAGAGGTCAGGGGGCTTTAGAACAGCAGTAGGAATAAAGCAAGGACCAAAGGCTTCAGCTCCTGATTTCCAAATGTTCTCCAGGATCCCAGGGCAGAGCAGGGCAGGCAGAAGGTTTCCATCCTCCATTCAAAGGAAGGAACAAGGGGTCAGGAGTATTGCTCCAACCTTCTTCACAAGAAAAATGTCTTTCTAGGCTGCCACAGAACTTTCAGCCCTGCCTACCTGAAGAATGCAATAAGGAATGACTGATTTGTTAGACTCTGGATGATTATGTGTGGATGGGAGAAAGGAAGGAGAGAGCCTAGTGGAGCTGGTCACCACCAGAAGACATGGCTAAATGATAGCCATTAAATCCTAAGGAGGGCAGCCTGAGTCAGAAATGAGGATAAAAGTGGTGGAGGAATGAGGTTAGCTAGTTAGGATCTGGAGGTCATAGCCAGTAGCATCTACTATGGCCTCATCTGGAGCCAACTGCAAGTTCCAGGTAGGGTTGGGGCTGCCATGTTGTGCACTGCACCTCCTCTGGATGCTGTTCTTTTTTCACCCTTCATAGGTTGCAATCAGGCTGGGTGTGGTAGTGAGGAAGAAGGCCTCTGGGTAAAATTCAGCTACCAGAGGCTCCAAAGTAGAATCAAGGTAAATGTACAGGAAAAAAGAAAGGGCATCCAGGGCTGTGGCCTCAGAGCAGAGTTTTTCTGTGAAAGAAATGGAATAGAGTTCTTTTAGGGAGCTATCTTTACCTCTCTTCACTACCTCAGCCTCAGTTAAGACTGCCCCCTGCCCCTGAGGTGTCCATTAGAGGTCTATAGAATAAGTGCACCCATCCCTTTGTTTGCCTAGTTTGAGTTTTCCCCAGCTGGTCAGTAAACGTTTAAGGGGTACAGCAGAAGAGGCCCTACCTCATGCTCCATCACAGAAAAGGTGGCGTCTTCCCAGTCCTGGGAGAAAAGCTGGCTATGATAACGCATCTTAGCTGTAATGGCCTCCACTGAGCAGAGGAAAGAAGGAAGATTGGAAAGACATGGTGGAAGCAGATTCCTAGACTCCCAAGGCAGGAAAGGGAATGCCATGGGACCCTGGGATCTAGGGGAACACATGGGTAGGAATATCTCCTTCTGCTTGCTTGTTCCTCAAGCTGGAGATGTCTCAGGAGCCCAGACAGGTTGAACAGGCAGTGTTGGGGGTTACTCAGAGAGGGGCAGAAGGAAGAAAGGCTGGGGCTGGGGATATGGAAGTTAAAATAGAATTGGGCTGCTCTGAGGAGATGGATGAAACCAATCTGGGCCAGAGTTGACCCCCTCCTATCACCTAGGCTTTAGCTAATCCAACCCAGGGGCTGGGAGCAAGAGTACACTCACTGAGGCAGGGGTTGTGGGAGAAGGACCTCTCCAGCCCTTCACACTCCTCCTGCAGGTTGCCACTGCCTCGGCAGGTGCAGCTTAGGGCAACACTAGTGTTGATGTTGCTGATGAAGTTGGGGGTCATGGCAGTTCCTGTGGGATGAAAAAGGGAAGCAGTTGTCAGGGCCCAGGCTAACCCTCCTTTAGCTCCAACCCTCTCCCACCCATCTCAGGACCACACCATCTGGGTCTTCAGAGTATTCTCTCCTTTAGGGTGAGCCCATCCTGTGGGTTCTCTACATATGCCCCAGCCTCACCAATCAGCCCCAAGTATGCTCGCAGACATCTGGACTGTTCTGTTGCACAAGTCCCCAGGATGTCCATAGGATGGCAGTGGGTCTGGAAATCTACCAGGCGTGATCTGGAAGAAAGGAAAAAAAATTTTTTTTTTTGGCAGTTCTGAAGGGGGTACTCTACCACTGGGCTATACCCCTAGTCCTTTTTATTTATTTATCTTAATTTTGAGACAGGGTCTAAAAATCACAATTTTGAAGACTTGTGATCCTCCAGCCTCAGCTTCCAAAGTAGCTGGGATTAGAGACATAAGCTACCATGCCTGGCTCAAGAAGGGAAATTTCAAGAGTCCCCAATGAAGATCTGACCTGCAGCCTTTATCCTTGCTGCTCTTTAGCCTGGCAAGCTCATTGTCACCCCAGTTCCTCCTCTGCTTTCAGTGCTTGGTCCACCCCAACTTCTCCTCAGTGGAGCCTGCCCCTGTCACTTTTAACCCAGGGCCTTCAGCACATCACTCTGAATTTAGGCTTCATAATCTCTAATTATGAGATCTTAGACAGCTTCTTTCACCCCAGTTTCCTAGACTATAAAATAGGATAAAAGCACAACCTGGCAGATTTTCATTGATGAAATAAGAGAATGCATGTATCACATCCAGCATAGTGCCTGGCACATATTGTTTAATAAATGTTAGATATGAGCTGGGTGTGGTGGCATGTGCCCATAATCCCAGTGTCTCAGGAGGCTGAGGCAGGAGGATTACAAATTCAAGGACAACCTTGGCAATTTAGCAATACCCTGCCTCTAAATAAAAAATAAAAAGAGCTAAGGATATAGCTCAGTGGCAGAGCAGCCCTGGGTTCAATCCCTAGTACTGCTAAATAAATAAATAAATATTAGATGTTATTATTATTACTATCATTTGTGGTTCTGGGGATAGAACCCAGGGACTCGCACATTTTAGGCACTGAAGTATACTAAAATTTTTAAATTTTATATTGAGACAGGGTCTTGATATGTTGCACAGGTTGGTCTGGAACTTTTGATCCTTCTGTCTCAATTTCCCAAGTAGCTGGGACTACAGGTGTGCACCACAGTACCCAGCCAGATATTATTATTAACATTCATCCCACAATACATAAGGCTAGTTCTGTTTGGGTGATGTAATTGTGGGTGTTTTTCTTTCTGTATGTTTTTCTGCAGTTTTCAATACATTTCTGTTTGGGTCAATGGTTTACTTCTCTGTCACCTCCACTCTACTATGAACTCCTTGAAGATAGAGATAATATCTTAGCCATCTAACCTAGTACCTGTTATATAATAGTATTAGCTACTAGTGTAGTAATAGGCAGTACAGCAGAATAGTTAAAAGCATAGACTCGGGCTGGGGATGTGGCTCAAGCGGTAGCGCGCTCGACTGGCATGCGTGCGGCCCAGGTTCGATCCTCAGCACCACATACAAACAAAGATGTTGTGTCTGCCAATAACTAAAAAATAAATATTAAAAAAAAAAAAAAAGCATAGACTCTAAGTCAGACCTAACCTACTAGCTGTGTTCCCTGTGTACCTATTAGTGGTTATTTAACCATTCTTTGCTATGGTTTGTTCATTTGTAAACTGAGGATGATTAAAACAAGAGCATCTATCTTACAGAGTTCTTATGAGGCTTATATGAGTTAATACATGTTAAATACTTAAATCAATATCTGGCTCATAGGAAGTACTTAGTAAATGCTAATATTCTGATTATAGAGAGCCCTGACTTTGCAGATAAGGAAAGTAGTAATCAAAGAGGTAAAGCTACTTTCCTTACTGCATCACCTGTCACAAAAAAGTAAGCAATAGATCTAAGTTGTATACCATGGTTGGTATGACATTTATTGTCAAAAAATGTTATTTGAACAGATGATAAGTTCAATTTGTTGTTTTGTACTGAGAAGACACAGGAAAACCAGATTGTAATTTCAGATTTTCAGTGCCTAGCATTTGTGAGGCTCTGGGTTCAAACCCCAGCAATGAAATGCAAACCTCCCTACATAAATACATGGAGTTCTTAAAGGACAATAAATGACAAAATTAGCATTACCATTTATTGAGGACTTAACTCTGCCCCAGTAGGCTAAGTACTCTACATAAGTAATATAACCATGATTAGAGGTCTGTATTATTATTCCAGTTTTTGTAGAGAACTAAAAGTGATGGCTTGCCCTTCACATCTGGTTTGAGCATGTCCAGCTTGCTGAGATTCATTTTCCAGTCACTGGGTCTTCATTTCATTTTTCCAGAAAAATAACTGGAAGCAAATGCTTACCAAATTATGGTAGATTATCTTTAGGTGAGGGAATTTTGAGTGGTATTTTTTATATAGGCCTGTGTCACTGTGCCCGTAAGTGGTATTTTTTATACAAGTTTATGTTTTCTGAAGTTATTACACAAAGGAGGTTTTGTTATGTTTCCCAGGTTGGTCTGGAACTCAGACGCAAGGAGTCTTCCTTCCTCAGCCTCTGAGAGCTGGGACTACAGGTGTGACCATCGCACCAGGTCAAAAGCTATAATCCTTTTAATATGAGTTTCACAAAATATCCAAGGCGAAGCGCCTTGTGGGTCCACTGTTTCCTGAGGGCAGTTAGATCCAACGGGTGCAGGAAGGTGGCCAGAAGGAGTGGAACATGTCACACCCACGCCCATCCTGCAGCCCAGACCCTGCACCTACCTGCACAGCGGATCCGTGAAACAGAGGCTCTGCAAATCCAGACAGTTGGGGGCCTCAGTTGGCAGTGCGCAGCTGGGAGCAATAGTGTTGCGCCTACGCTCCCCACAGCCGCGGTCAGTGGGCAAGCAGGGGCACAGCAGCAGGCCCTGCGCATGAGGCTCAGAGGCCCTCTCAAAGAAGGAGCGCAGCTGTCCAAGGCAGACTTGGCGCTGGCAGTGGTGTCCTGAGCAGGCCTCCCCGTAACCCTTGCGTAGCCGGTCACACTTCTCATTAAGAGTACACAGCATAGCAAACTTGAGGCAGAGATCGGAGTCTGTAGGGAAGAAGGGCACTAAATCACTAGACCACATCCTTTCTGCATCACCTGTAGTTCAGTATCCCTAAGGAACCCCAGCAAACCCAATTTAACAAGGAAGAAATGGGGGTAGGAGGAAAGGGAGGACTTGAATAAATCCTGAATAAAGCTACTGCTATTCAAGGTTTTCTCTCTCCCCACAAACTCTATCTGGTACTGTGAAGCCTTTTCTACTCTGTTCCTTATCTTGACTAGGTAAACATCATCCATCATCATCATCATCATCATCTCTATATATCTAATAACCACTTATCTAGAACCAAGCATCCACAAAGTTCAAATAACCAAAATACTTCCTTCAATGCTGTGCAGTATGATCCGACGGTGAAAATCATAACCTATAGAGGTCTTGCAACATTCCATAGCAGTTTTTGAACTGCTGGAAACAAATGCAACTAAATTCTATTTAGGTTTGGTTTGTACCTTTTTATTCAGTTTTACTATTACCTACCCTTCATTCATCTAATGATTCATGCATAAAAGTTCTTTTCCAAGTCTTGGAAAAGTATGGCGATATTTCCTCCTTCTTCCTTTCTTTTTTTCAGGACTCAGTGTAGGTTGCTAGGAATCAAATCCAGGGAACCTAGGGCTTCATGCATGCTAAGCATGTACCTTACTGCTAAGCTCCATCACTAGCTGCCTGATGATTTTTCTATAAAAAGAATATTTCAGCCCCAGAACAACTAAATAACTTAAACAGGTCATTCACTGATTCCTTGTAACTAAGAGTTTGCCATGTATAAATCTCTAGTTTTCCCTTGAAATTCTAATACATAAAACTAGCTATACAACAAAGCTCGCTTCAAAATTCTAATTTTTACAGAATTGACCATACAACAAAGCTTTCTTCTCCTCAAAAAATAGTGCATATATGTGTGTTCTTTTTCAATTAACTTTCGACCTTACACTCCTGAAAAAACATGCATTGTAGTCCTTGCCAGGCTGATGGCTCTCCACCCTAAGTCACCCCTGTGGGGAGTCAAAAACCTCATTATTTTCTCTGCCCAACACCTCGCCCATCCCATTAGAATGGTTGAAAACAATTTTCTAGTCTTTATGGACAAAAAGGCTACTTTCCTTGCTGTGTCTAAATATTCCATTTCTGTACTTTTCTTTCTGTAACTACTGCCACTCCCACCATCCTCTTTGTAGGGACCAGGGGAACTAATGGGTTTTCTCTGAATGCCTGCCTAATAATTGTTATTTTTTTTGATGACTCCCGTGAAAGCAGACCATGCAACACAACTCAGACTTCTACGCTGACACAGTGTTTATTCAGTCACCTGGCAGGCTAGAAACTTACTCTGTAAGCCCCTAAGTTTGTGCTTCCCCCAGCCACCCTTCCCTCGGCCCAGCTCAGCCTCCCACTTCCCAGTTTCCCATCCTAGGCTTGCCTTCCACACCTGGTTTGAGTATGTCCAGCTTGCTGAGATTCATTTTCCAGGGTTTTCTAGTCACTGGGTCTTCATAGGGGGAGACATCCAGTTCATAATCACCTAAAAACAAGATAGGGAGCACCAGAATGCTAAGGACCTGGGAGGGGTGGGAGCAGAAGGGGCTCAGGCTGCTGGGTCAGACCTCAAGCTCTATGCAGCAAAGGAAAAGGCATAACCTATAACTAGCTGCAAGGTATTCAAAGGTAAGAAAAATGCAGAGCCATAAAGATTTGGGTTGTGCTGGACATGGTGGGGCACACCTGTAATCTCAGCGGCTTGGGAGGCTGGGACAGGAGAATGGCGAGTTCAAAGCCAGCCTCAGCAATGGTGAGGCACTAAAGCAATTCCATGAGTCCCTGTCTCTAAATAAAATACAAAATAAGGCTGGGGTATGGCTCAGTGGTCGAGTGCTCCTGAGTTCAATTCCCGGTACCAAAAAAAAAAAAAAAGATATGGATTTGGCCCAACAAATAAACTGATAAGAATAGAAGCCTTTGGGTAGGCAAAAAGAAATTGAGGAGGAGAGAGGTTTAATTGTTACTTGCCGAGATATGAACTCTGAACTATCTGATTCTGGTAAGTAGGAGTTCAGGGACATCAAGATGGTGGAGACAGGGTATAAGAAAGATGCCACTGGGGGCTGGGGTTGTGGCTCAGTGGTAGAGAGCTTGTCTAGCATGCATGAAGCACTGGGTTTGATCCCCAGCACCACACAAACTAAATAAACAAAATAAAGGTGTTGTGCCCATCTACAACTAAAAAAATATTTAAAAAAAAAAAAAAAAAAGATGCCACTGGACAAGACAGGGAGATAAGTCATGTTTCTGTTTACAATAAGTCCCATTACTATGAAAACTCCTGACACTGAGGACTTATCACCATGACAACTCCTGCCCAGGTTCAATATTTTAAAAGGACCAATGGTGGTAAAGTAGGCAGTATTCTAATTAGGTTTCTAAAGTAACCAATGCTGTGGGGGGTGATTAGAGAATATTCTAATCAGGTATCATAAGGTAACCAATAGGAGCAAACAGGGTAAGGTCTTCAATTTGGTCTGTATAGGAAAGAGAATGACTCACAGCCCAGCAGCTGATTTCCAGACATTGGGACCTGAGCCTTTCTCTCGGTCAGCCCACTCTTCTCTACCTTACGGAGTGCTATCTTCACCTATAATAAATCTGTTATTTTCCTGCTATTTCTGTGTCTGTCTTTCTTTTTCTTTTTCTTTTTTTGGTACCAGAGACCCAGAGTCACTCAACCACTGAGCCACATCCCCAGCACGTTTTTGTATTTTATTTAGAGGCAGGGTCTCACTGAATTGCTTAGGGCCTTGCTAAATTGCTGAGGCTGGCTTTGAACTTGCTATCATCCTGCCTCAGCCTCCAGAGCCAATGGGATTATAGGCTTGTGCCAGCATGCCCAGATGCTTCTGTATGTCTTCCTCAATTCTCTGTTTGGGATACCAAGGACCTGGATCCCAACTGGATACTCCAACAACAACAATTTCAGAGTTTCTGGATCCTAGCTCTCAGACATATTGTGTGTTTGGAATCAGGCAAGGGAACTCTGCCTTGTTTTCTCTTGCTATTATAGAAGGGACAATGGGGTACTCTGCTACAGGCCTGAATGCTTGGCTATGGAGATGTATAGCATTCTGGAGAAACAGAAGTGAGGCCAGGCACTAACCAAGAAAAACTGAGAAAAAAAAAAAAAGAGAGAAAATGATCTCAAAGAATATGCATCTTTCTCAGATACCCACAAGGGACTGCAGACTCCTTAAGGGGACTTACTAAGTCTTATCAAATCAGTGTATTGCCCCTATGCTTGGGAGGGGCTCAATAAATATTGGTTAATAAATCTTGTTGAAAGAGAGATGAGAAAGATAAGCTTGCAGGAATGTCATCCAAGAAGCCTTTGTAAATGCATCTTCAGGTGGGCAGGTATATGGATGTTATCAGGCAAACAAGAGAGGATGGGCTAGATATATCAGAAGACCTGAGAGCTCCAAAGAGGAAAGAAAACAGAGAAACAAGAGAATCCTGGAAGAAGTCTCTGGGGAAGTCAAAAAAGAGAAGAAATTAGGAGTAGGAAACAGAGAACAAGTGGTGTGGTAAAATTGTTTTATCGTTCAATTATTTGTCCCCCACACTATGGGAGGATTATACCTCCCTATCTGTTGCCATGTGACTTTTCACAGCCCTTGTGGAGCGTACTTCAATGTCAATCAGGCTTGGTCCCGTGATTTGCTCTGGCTGGTGGACTATAAATTGAAGTGATGTAAATCACATCTAAGCAGAGCTTTTTTTTTTTTTTTTTTTTGCTACTGGGGTTAAACCCAGGAACCCTTACCCACTGAGCCACATCTCCAGTCCTTTTTCTAATTTATTTTGAGATAGGGTCTCACTAAGCTGATCTAAGTTGCTACTTTGATCTTGGAATCCTCCTGCCTCTTCCTCCCAAGTAGGCATGCACCACTGTGCCCAGGCTGAGCAGAAACTTTAATAACCATCACATTGCCAGGTATGGTAGCACATGCCTATAATCCCATCAGCTTAAGAAATTGAGGCAGGATTGCAAATTCGAGGCCAGTCTCAGCAATTTCATAAAGGCTTAAGCAACTTAGTGAAGCCCTGTCCAAAATAAAAACTGAAAAGGTGGGGGATGTGGCTCAGTGGTTCAGTCCCCAATACCAAAAAAAAAAAAAGAACCATTATATCGTTATTACTTTTTCCTCTCTTACTTTGAATGAAGACAATAGATAGAACAGAGAAAAATCCAATGCTTGGAAGTCTGCAGCACATATATAAAATGAGCAAGAAATAAATGTTTATTGTTAAAAAAGAGATGGGGATGGGGTGGGCTGGTTGTAACTAAAGTTTAACCTAGCAAATTCTTATTAGAAATGCAATCAAGGAGGGGCTGGGGCTGGGGCTCAGCGGTAGAGCGCTCGCCAAGCATGTGTGAGGACCTGGGTTTGATCCTCAGCACCACATAAGAATGAAATAAAGATAATGTGTCCAACTACAAATAAAAAATAATAAATATTAAAAAAAAAGAAATGCAATCAGGGAGAAGGGTATGGCAGCATACACCTATAATCCCAGCAATTTGGGAGGCTAAGGCAGGAGGATTGCAAGTTCTGGGCCAATCTCAGCAATTTAGCGAAACTCAGTCAAAAATAAAAAGTAAAAAAGATTGGAGATGTAGGTTAGTGGTAAAGTGTCCCTGGGTTCAATCCCTAGTACCAAAAACAAAAAAGCAACTGGAGGCTGGGTATAGTGACACACACACCTGTAATCCCAACAAAAAAAGAGACTGAGGGAAGAGGATTGCAAATTTGAGTTTAGCCTCACTAACTCAGAAAGACTGAGTGAGAAACCACTCAAAATAAAAAATAAGAGCTGGGGTGTAGCTCAGCGGTAAAGTGCCCCTGGGGTTCAATCCCCAGTACCCCCAACACACAAAAGCAATGCAATTAGGGCGTTGGGAAGTGTTGTTCAGTGGTCGAATGCTGCTTAGTACTCTTGAGGCCCTGAGTTTGATTCCCAGTACCACAAAAACAAAACAAAGCAAAACAAAAACAATTGGGGTAAGGGGAAGAAAAAATGCAATTTTTACCTAGAGGTAGATTGCTTTAGGAACAAAAATCCAAATATGTAGCAATTCTTTGGGACTGGGCAGTGGATAGAGAAGAAGCTTTCTGGGGGCTGGAAAAAAGGTAGTCTTCATTATGCAGTAACAAAGCATTTGATAAATTATTTCCCCCAATAATTTGGAAGGAAGATGAGTTTATGCTGAACGAACTTGTGTTTTAAGGGGAAGAAGCCGAAAAGCAGAAGGTTACTAGTGTGTCTTGATTGCTACTGGCTGCATTTGGCAAGGTATTAAGAGAAAAACAGAAGCTCAGAAAAGAATTGGCCAGTTTAGCAGATAGGCATGGTGGTGCCTGTCTGCAGACCCAGCTACTAGAGAGGCTGAGGCAGGAGGATTCCTTGAGTCCAGGAGTTCAAGACCAGCCTGGATGTAGTGAAAAAGTGTCTTGACAAAATAAAAAATAAAAGAATTGGCTGGTTTGCAAGTAGGGAGGATATGGACAAAAGAATCCAGAAATTCCAAGACTTGAAGGATTAAGAGATGCAGCAACTATATCTCATATTCAAATGGTAAAAGATAAAATTGAAAATGCTTTGAGTGATAAAGTTGATAACAATCAGGCTTGGGGGAAAGACCAAATTAAGTATGTGGCTATCCTGGAGTTTATAAAGATTTCTCAATTGATTAAGATGGTACCAAATAGATCTGCCAGTTGGACAAATGTACTCAGGGAAAGAAAACTAAAGTAGTGACTCTCCCATAGAGGTCTGATAGGGACAGGGAACTTCTAATTAGGTTTAGAAAGAGGTGCATGTCTTGTAGGAAAGGCTACTGGCACATGAGATGAAGGAATCAAAGATATAAAAAGCAATTACTTTTTGAGAGACTTGTACTTCTAACAGCTAACAGCCTGGATTAAAAGAGACTGTGACTATTTGAGGCTTAAAATGCCCCAACATTCCTCAGACAGGAAATAGATAAGAATGCTTCTCCAGTCCCAGAGGTTGTAGTCTCCAATGCCCTTTTCAAATGTGGTAAAGAGAATAATGGAAAAGCCAGGATCTCCCAGAGGGTTGAGCCAAGAACCTTGAAGAACAATGGATAGGGCAGCTACTCCCACAGGGGAAAAAAAAAAAAAAAAAGGGTGAGTGGGGGGGGGGGTCTTCTTATAGAATAAGCCTGGGTTGGAAATGTGGTCAGTGGATGATTACTTGCCTGGCATGTGTGAGACCCTGGGTTTGATCCCCAGAGAAGAGGACCCTTGCAAAATCTGCCTAGCAAAATTTTAGAATTCTTCGAATCAATGTCTGCTGTGTGCCTCTCATTCCTTCCCATTCTGAAAGTGTTTGTTGTAGTTATCCTGAGCCTGTTCTATTATTGTACACTGAGTATGTATGGGAGGCAAATGACCTTTTTAGTTCATAAAGATAAACTAGGGGGTCTGGAGTTGTGGCTCAGTGGTAGAGTGCTCGCCTAGCATGCGTGAGGCACTGGGTTCAATCCTCAGCACCACATAAAAATGAAATAAAGATATTGTGTCCACCTCCAACTAAAAAATAAATATTAAAAAAAAATATAAACTAGGGTTAGGCATGGTGGCACATGCCTGTAATCCCAACAAATCTAGAGGCTGAGGCAGGAGGATCATAAGTTTGAGGCCAGTCTCAGCAACTTAGGGAGACCCTATCTCAAACTACAACCAAACAAACAAAAAACAATATAGAAACTATCATGAGATCCTAAGATCCTAGACTTAGAGCTTGATGTCATGTTCTGATAGAATTTTTAGGACATCTTCCTTGGAAAATTAGGTGGGTATATATTACTTGTGGAAGGAGGGGAAATTAATATTTTTATCAAGCTGTAAACTGTGGTAAATTGTATTATTGTTTCCAATTATTCTTTGCCCTCCCTATAAGATTAAATGTCTTCACTTATTGTCATGTGATTTATTTATTACTTTTTAATTTTTTTGCTACTGGGAATTGAACCCCAGGAATGCTTTACCATTGAGCTATATATCTCCAGGCCTTTTTGAGACAGGGTCTCACTAAGTTGCTAAGACTGGTTCAAACTTGCAATCTTCCTGCCTTGGTCTCCTGAGTTGCTGGGATTATAGGTATGTGCCACTAGGTCCAGTTTTGCCATGCTGTTTTTTTATTTCTCCCTATGGGAGGAGTATACTTCCCTAATCTAGTGATGTGAGGCTTGGTCAGATTATTGTCTCTTTGGAATTTGTAACATTTGAGCAGGGTTCTGATGTTGTTGTTTTGGTACTAGGGATTGAACACAGAGTGCTCTACCACTGGGCTACAATCCCAGCCCTTTTTATATTTGAGACAGGTGATCACTAAGTTGCAAGGCTCAAACTTGTGATCCTCATGCCTTAGCCTCCTAAGTAGCTGGTATCATAGGTGTGTGCCACCATGCCTGGCTTAAACAGAGGCTTTTAAAAGCATTGTATGGTTTACCAATGCTCATTTCCTTCACCATGAGAAGGGAACATCCCACAAAAGGCTGTGCCTTTAGCCTGGATCCCAGAATAACAAAGACACATGAAAACAGTCAGCTCAGAACATGAGCAAGAACTAAATCTTTGTTTTGCAAGATAGTCCAATAAAAGCTGATTAATAAGGAAAAAGGCCTATAGAAGGGGTCAAAGGTAGCGCTTCTCTTTGGCTTTTTTTGTGACTTTTATCATCCATCTCCAGTTCTGTTAATCATATCATTTCTGCTAAAGGCTGGCCTGAGATGATACCACTCAGTCTCTGAACTTGTGGATTACATGATATTTGGAGTTAAAACTGCTTTTCTCTACTCCTCTCTGTATCTTTCTGCTCTAGGAACTCCCCAGGTTGAGCCTGTGCCTGGTTTAGAACTCTGTCAAGAGGAAACCACAGGTAAAAAAAGAGGAAAAAGTGAGGGCAGTGTTTTGAGGGCCCAAAGGGACACTGCCAATTTTTCCCTCCATCTCTTACTGGTGCCAAATGCAGAGGTTCATTGTCATCCCCATCAGAATCTACCATGTGGCCCATATCCTGCAGAACTGAAAAACAACTCCCAAAGTGGGGCACACTTGTAATCCCAGGAAGCTGAGGCAGGTCCTGCCTCAGCCTGGGCAATTTAGTAAGACTGTTTCAAAGTAAAAAGGGCTGGGGATATCGCTCAGTAGTAGAGTGCCTCTGGGCTCAATACCCAGTAGTAAACAAAACAGATGGCTGGGGATATAGCTCAGCTGGTAGAATGTTTGCCTTGCATGCACAAGGTCCTAGGTTCAATCCCTAGCACCACATTAAAAAAAAAAAAAAAAGCAATGCTCAGGTTTAGGTATATGCATCAAATATAATTTTTTTATTTTTTAGTTGTAGCCATTTATTTATCTTTATTTATTTATGATGTTGAGGATCGAACCCAGGGCCTTGCACGTTCTGGGTGAGCACTCTACTGCTGAGCCACAACCCCAACCCCACATCAATATTTAAAAAAAAAAAAGAAGAAGAAGAAGAAGAAAAGAAATTCCAAGAGCCATCCTCCTCAGCTTAGTCCACTTTAGGATGGAGGTCTCACCAATGCTGCGGGCAGGATGAATGGTCCAATAGATGTCCAGGCAGGTAGCTTGATTCTTCATGCGTCGGTGGCATGTACAGCCCATCAGAGAGCTGTTCCTGAGTTTCTCTGCTGCCTCTAGGCAGTCTGCAGGGAAAGAAGACCCCTCTAAGGGCAATGGGGTGCTTAGACTAGAGGTGCAAGAACCCAGGTGGTGGTAGGCAGCCTTGCAAGTGGGATCAGCCTGGCACTTCCTCCTGGCCTGGATACAACTGTTCTTGAACCGGCTCTCTGTGGGAAGGGAGTCTCCTGTGGAGAGATCAGATGAGGGTCACATATGATCAGAGTAGCTGTCTAGAAGTATTAAGCCAATTGTGAGGTAGGATTGGGGAGATTCCTGATGAAACCTTGAGAAAATCTTAGGGTAGCACAAATTGCCTTTAGGAATGATGTGGAGAGAAAGAAGTCCCACAGAACCTCCTTTACATCCTAAATTCAATTAAAAAAAAAAAGTCCCATTAACTCCACAACATATGTGGAATCTGTCTACTTTTTTATTTAGGTTTGGTTTGCCCCTGCCTGTTCTGTTCAGTTTTGCTATCGCCTGCCCATCATTCATCTACTGATTCATGCATAAAAGCTCTCCATACTCTTGAGTCTTGGAAAAGTATGGTGATATTTCTTTTTTACTTTTTTTCATGTCTGTCTCTTTAGCCAGACCTCCTTACTGGTCTCACTGATTTCATCTTCCAAACTCATTCCTTCACACAATCTTAATATCTTTATTTTTTATATTTATTTTTTTTTAGTTATAGGTGGACACAATGTCTTTATTTTACTTTATGTGGTGCTAAGGATCGAACCCAGTGCCTCACACATGCTAGGCACGCACTCTACCTCTGAGCCACAACCCCAGCCCCTTAATATCTTTTTAAATAAAAATTTTTAATTGGAAAGCTTTTTATTGAGGTAAAATTCACACAAAATTAAGTTTCTTAAAGTACACAACTAAGTGGCATTTAGAATATTCACAATGTTGTTGAACTATCACTTCTAATTCCAATACATTTTCATTCATCCCAAAAGGAAACAACATACCCATTAAACAAGCACTCGTTATTTCACTCTTCTCTCCATCAGCCTCTGAGAACCAGTAGTCTCCTTTCTGTCTCTATGGATTTACCTATCCTATATATTTCTTTTTTCTTTTTTTTTTTTTTTTTTAATACCAAGTTTTTTTTAAAGAGAGAGAGAGAGAGAGAGAGAGAGAATTTTAATATTTATTTTTTAGTTTTCGGCGGACACAACATCTTTGTATGTGGTGCTGAGGATCGAACCCGGGCCGCACGCATGCCAGGCGAGCGCGCTACCGCTTGAGCCACATCCCCAGCCCTCTTTTTTCTTTTTTTAAAAATATTTTTTAGCTGTAAATGGATCTTTTATTTAATTTATTTATTTATATATGGTGCTGAGGATTGATCCCAGGGCCTCACACATGCTAGGCAAGTGTTCTACCACTGAGCCACAACTCCAGCCCTATCCTATATATTTTATTGAAAGAGTATTACTCAATTTTGCTGGATCTTTTATCTTTTATTTTTTTGTGTGGGGGGGTGGTATCAGGGATTGAACCTAGGGGCACTCAACCACTGAGCCACAACCCCAGTCCTTTTCTGTATTTTATCTAGAGAGAGTCTTACTGAGTTATTTAGCACCTTGCTTTTGCTGAGGCTGGCTTTGAACTCATGATCCTCCTGCCTCATCCTCCAATTACAGGTGTGAGCCACTGTGTCTGGCTTGATCTTTATTTTTGGTACTGGGTATTGAACCCAGGGTGCTTTACCACTGAGCTGTATCCCCAGCCCTTTTGAGACAGAGTCTTACTAAATTTTGAGACAGTCTTACTAAATTGCTAAAAGTTGGTCTCAAAATTATGATCCTTCCTCCTCAGCCTTCCAAATGCTGGGGTTATAGGTGTGCACATCAGTGCCTGGCTAACACATTTGATCTTTAATATCTGGCTTTTCTCACCTAGCATATTAGTGTGTTTTTTTTTTTTTTTTTTGGGGGGGGCGTTCCAGGGATTGAATTTAGAGGCATTCACTGGACAACTGATTCACATCCTTAGCCCTATTTTGTATTTTATTTAGAGACAGGGTCTCACTGAGTTGTTTGGGGCCTAACTAAATTGCTGAGGCTGGCTTTGAACTCATGATCTTCCTGTCTCAGTCTCCCAAGCCACTAGGGTATAACAGGCGCGCACCACTGTGCCCAGTTTAGCATATTGTTTCTGAGGTCCATCCATAGTTTGTGTCAATGCTTCATTCATTTTTATGGATGACTATTTCATTGCATGGGTATGCCACATTTTTTTTGTCCATTCATTAATTGATGGGCATTTGTTTCCATCCTTTGTTTATTGTGACTGCTTCTTTGGTTATATGTAACTGGTATCATTCATATACAAGCATTTGTTTGAACACCTGTTTTCAATTTGTTTGGATATCTACCTAGGAGTAGAGCTGCTGGGTCATACAGTAATTTTCTGTTTAACTTTCTGGGGATCTGCCAGACTGGATCTGCCAGTAGTCATAAACATTTTACATTCCCACTAGCAATATATGAAGAGCCTAGCTTCTATACTTACTTGACAACTCTCATTATTTTCCACTTTTTAAAATTATGGCCATCCTTGTGGGTATGAAGTGTTATCTCACTGTGTTTTTAATTTGCATTTCCCTAATAACTAAGGATATTGAGCATATTTTTATGTTCTTATTATCCATTTGTACATTTTGTTTAGTAATATGCTTTCTTTTCTTCATCACTGGGATTGAACTCAGGAGTGTTCTATCTCTGAGCTATATCCCCAAATATTTTTAATTTTACTTTAAGACAGGGTCTAAGTTAGCCAGTTTGGCCTCAAACTTGTGATCCTTCTGCCTTAGCCTTCTAAGTAGCTGGGATTATAGGTATGTGCCATTGTGCTAGGCATTGGATTCTTTTGTTTGTAAAATTCACCTGTATAGGCAAGGATAGTAGTAAATAGTATAATTTCATTGTTGCATAGAATGCCATTATATAAGCATAATTCTAGTTTTTTTTTTGGGGGGGGATGACTAGGGATTGGACCCAGGGGCACTGCACTTTAGCACTGAGCTACATCCACAGTTCTTTTTTTATTTTGAGACAGGGTCTCCTTAAATTGCTTAGGATGGTCTTGAACTTGTGATCCTCTTGCCTCAGCCTCCTGAGTTGCTGGGATTACAGGCATGGGCCACCATGCCTGGCTATATACTCTGATTTATAAGACCTTTATAAGACTTAATCCCTTTTTATTTTAAGACAGGTTCTCACTAGGTTGCATAGTCTTGCTAAATTCTTGAGGCTGGCTTCAAACCTATGATCCTCCTGTCTCAGCCTCCTGAGCCACCAGGATTACAGATATGTACCACCATCGCCTGACTAATCAGTTTCTATTTTTTGTTTTTTGTTTTTCAGTTTCTTGACATTTCTTTCACTTGCCTCATTCTAGTCTCAGCCTGGCCTGGGACAATTCACTTTCTGGACTTTAGTTTCTTTAACAGTAAAATGGGGAACTGAGCTGGGGATGTGGCTCAGTGGTAGAGTGCTTGCCTAGCATGCATGAAGCCCTGGGTTTGTTTCCCAGAAAATAAAAGTGAGAGAGATACTGGATTCTATCCTTTAATGGAAGGGATGAAAAAGAAATGATAGCTTTCTTTTAGGGATATATCAGAATTTCTAAAGGGACTACATAGTTTTAAAAAGCATATTTAAGCCTAATGCAGTGGTATGTGCCTATAGTCCTAGCCACACAGGAAGGAGAACAGGAGGATCACTTCAAGTGGGAGGGAGGGGAAAGAAAAAGAAAAAAAAAAAAAAAAGAGAGAGAAGCAAGAAGGGAGGGAGGGAGAATATAAAAAGCATATTTGGTAATTTTATGTGTGCAAGATAAAAAAAAGTTTCAAATTTCAAAAAAATATTAGCCAGGGCTGGGGATGTGGCTCAAGCGGTAACACGCTCGCCTGGCATGCGTGGGGTGCTGGGTTCGAGCCTCAGCACCACCACATAAAATAAAAAATAAAGATGTTGTGTCCACCGAAAACTGTAAAATAAATATTAAAAATTTCTCTCTCTCTCTCTTAAAAAAAAAATATTAGCCAGCCATGGTAGAACAGAGATCCCAGAGATTTGGAAGGCTTGCAAGCTCAAGGTCAATCTTGGCAACTTAGTGTTGAGCCCATCTCAAAACAAAAAAATAAAAGGGCCATGTACTGTGGTTCATGCCTCTAATCCCAGTGGCTTAGGAGGCTGAGGCAGAAGAATTGCAAGTCCAAAGTCAGCCTCAGCAACTTAGTAAGGCCCTAAGAAACTTAGTGAGACCCTGTCTCAAAAGAAAAGGGCTGGAATGTGGCTCAGTGTTCAAGTACCCCAGGTTCAATCCCGGTACCATAAAGTAAAATTAAAAGGGCTGGAAGTTGAAATTTAAGTATGAGATTTTAAAACCTTAACCAAAAAGGGGACATGGATTTAAATAGGTTGAGAAATTCTAAAACTTTAAGATGCTACTCTAGGGCTGGGGTTGTGGCTCAGCATTAGAGCGCTCACCTCGCACGTGTGGGGCCCTGGGTTCAATCCTTAGCACCACATAAAAATAAACAAAATAGAGGTATTGTGTCCAACTACAACTAAAATATATATATTTAAAAGAAAAAAGATGCTACTCCAGGTATGTACTCAGTAAAAGGTCACTGAAAGAAATAGCAGGTTCAAGTCATTGTTGTTACTGGAATAAGTGAATATTTATCTGAACTTAAATATTGAATCACAACCATTTTCAAAAAAAAAACCTCTCTAACTTTATTCTTTTTTGGGGGGTACTGGGGATTGACCCCAGGGGAAATTGCTGAGACTGGCTTTGAACCTGCAATCTCTCTGCCTTAGCCTCCTGAGCTGCTGAAATTACAGGCATGTACCACCGCACTCAGCCCCCCAAATATTTTTTTAAATTTTTTTGTAGTTGTGGATAGACAGAATGCCTTATTTTGTTTATTTTTATGTGGTGCTAAGGATCGAACCTAGTCCCTCACACATGCAAGGCAAATGCTCTGCCACTGAGCTATAGCCCCAACCCCCTCCCCCAGCTATTTTTAAATTTGAGACAGGGTTTTGGTCTTCTTAAAGTCGTGACTAGTGGTCAACATTTAAAAACCAGAAGATTTCACATAAAACTATGGACTCCCAATTTCTCTTCAAATATAAAACACTGTGGGCCTACATGCCCACAATATAACAAATGGAGTTGTGTGATGACTGCCTCCTTTCAGCAAGTCATGTGCTATTCAATTTGTCACAGTCCCTACATTCTCTATCACACCTTCACTACCTCCTCCTTTATGCTACCACTGCTATGTCTATTTCTCACTTAGTCAGCAGCTTGACCTCCTGAGTTTTTCTTGGTTCATCAGAGAATGAGTAGTAGCAAATGAAGAAGATAAGTCTATGCATAAGATCCTCATTTGTTTTTCTCCATAGAAAAGAAGAGAGGCCCATAGCTTGGGCACCCATTTTATGGATGAATAAACAAGAAAAGTACGATGCATTAAGAGATATAGCAAGCTAAGACCAGATTGAGGTTAGAATCAAGAAGTCCTAGCTCCAACCTATTTTAGAATGATTTTCAGTACATGATGCTACTTTCCTGGGTGTTAGTTGTCTCCTTTATGCTTGGCTCTACTGGGGCCCAAGCAGTGGTATTTTTTACCTAATTGTTAAAACCAGCAATTGGTCTGGGCAGCACTTGACCCTACATAGCAGCTCCTGGATGATTGTGTTAAGGATTTTCAACAAAGCCACTTAATCAGAAATCACTGCTATTAAATACTATAAAATATGGATCTGCCAGCTATACTGCTTCCCTGAATTAGTTAATGAGGAAGGTGTTTAGTGTTTATCCCTGATCCTGACACAAAGCCATACATTAGAGTTAGTGAAATTTCCTAGACAGTTAATTCAAATTGGTGATGTCTTGCTCCCCAGATTTGCTGATTGAACCAGTCTTGACAAACCAGTCTTTTCCCTCCTTCCTTCCTTAACTGTCTCACAGCCAAGATTGTATTTCTATAGTCCCACAATGTGAAAGGTGATGGGAAATGTGTGTGGCCTCTGCCTTGGGATTCTCTTCACTCAGGTTCTGGTAGGAGCCCCAGAATGACAGTCCATGTACCTAATCCCATTCCCCAAGGCCATGGGGCATTTTTCTAGGCAGGCTGGAGCCTAGACTGCTCTTCTTCAGGGGAATGGCGTGGTGCTAAAGCCAGGCTGTGGCTTGTAGGAAAAGATCATCTGGCTCAACAAGGCGTCTTCTGCACCAATTGAAAAAGTAAACATTTAACCTGGCTTGATGGACCAAGCCTATAATCCCAGAGACTCTGGAGGCTGAGACAGGAGGACTTCAAGTTTGAAACCAGTCTCAGGAACTTAGCAAGGCTCTAAGCAACTTGCCAAACCTTGTCTCAAATTTTTTAAAAATTAAAAAGGGGGCGGTGCTTGGGGTGTGACTTAGTGGGTAAATCCTCTAGGTTCAATCTCTGGTTTGAAAAAAAAACAGTAATAATAATAATTAAGTATATGGTATGGTGGAGTTGGGTAGTTTTCAAATTCTCAACACACAACCAAATGATGATGTTAGCAAGTTCTGGCCAGCTTACAACCTCAAAGGGCGTGAAGAGAAGTTGAAGGCCGCTTAGAGGAAATGGCAGTCCAGCCCATGATCAGATTCTTCTTGCTTCCTAGAGATGCTGTCTTATAGTAGACTGGCTGCAGGTTATTTTATAATTGTGTAGATGAGTCACAAAAGAGAGAAGGGGGAGAACAAGGAGCAAGGAGATGCTTGTTTATCCAGCTCAATGCTGGCACTCAATCTATATGAGTTCAGCCACAGTATTAGGCATGGTATTCAGGGCCCTCTGGTCTTCCTCCTCCAGTTTCCCAGACTCCAGAACTGACACAGACACGGGACCTGGAGGCAGCTGCACCCACTGTGTCCCGCCTACAAGCTCACCTCCACCTGCCCCTCCCTGCAGCACCGGCGGGTTCCAGCTGCACCTACCCACAGACTACACTCACCAGCTCCAAGGGGCAGCAACATCATCAGCAGCAGCAAGACCACCGGCGACAGCCGCCGGCTGGGGGAGCGCACCATGGCGGGGTGTGGGTGCCAGGTGTCCGCCTCCGAGGGCGCTCTGCCTGCGCCGGGCACCGCTGTCTCCTGGTTCCTAGAGCTTGAGTTCAGAAAGCGGGACTCCCTCCGTCGGCGCCTCCCACCGCCGCCTCCCGCCCCTCCTCGCGGGCGCCGCCCTCCAACTCCGAAGCGCGAGTCCACACCCCTCCGCCTCTTCTACTGGACCGAGAAGACAGAGGCGGGAGAGGTTTGGGTGCCCAAGAGGGTGCTCCACCTGAATCTGCCCACCTACTAACAACTTCGCTTAGCAAGACTGTGGAAGCTGCCGCTGGAGACTCTTCTCCCAGGTTAATATTTCTTCCCCCATAAAAGCACCCTTTCTCACTTTCCCAACCCCGCCTCTTCACCTCAGGAACATCAGCAATCGCCAGAGAGGAAATCTTGTAACAAAATTTGAACAAACAAGGGTACCTGAGTTTCTAGTATTTTTTTCTCTGAGAATGTGCACATCTGTTATCTCAAGTATCTTCCAGAGTAAGATTCTATGGTGTTCATTAAAAGATGGGCCCCAGAAAGGTAAACGACTTTGCTGGGAGCATAACTGGGACGATTTCCCAAGAGCTTTACCTGACTAAACTGCTTCAAAATGCAGCTCCTCCACCCATCTTAGCTAAATAGCAGAGATTTCCTTGGACCAAACAAGATCACAGAAGAAGGTGATTGGAGAGACCATTCAGAAGCCCCATTATTTTCAGATGATGAGTTTCAGAGAGGAAGCTCCACTGCCAGGATTAAACTAGGTAGAAACTCAGCTGTGCCCAGAATCCAGAATCTACCGGTAAAGGATAAGGCCTGGGCTTAATTCCCACCAGCTCCCCAGAGTAAAGATAGAACCACATGGAAGAATAAGAGCTAACCAGTGCCCAGAAGAAAAAAGAGGACGATGAAAGAAAGTGTGTGGAGGTTCATCCCTTAACACTCCAACCTGGGCCCTATCCTTACTTCCACAGTCCACCTGGCAGAAGGCTAGGAGGGAGGCTATTGCAAAGTGCAATATAAACCTCTGAGATTTATTGGCTGCTGCTTCTGAACATGGCCATCCTGCTGTGGCCTCTGGGGGGCATTTGCCGATGTAATCAGCCCAGAAAGAGAGTCATTCTGGCCAGGGGTGTAAATCAACCTTCACAAAGCTAGGAAAGAGACATGTGGCCCTAGATAAGGAAGGAGACTGATGTGGCCTCTGTGCCCTTCCCTCCCTTCTCCTGCCCAGGGGGAGCTGGATCCTGAGCTGTAATGCACTTTAAATGGAGTTTGTGCTTCTTTTTAATCTATATCTGCCCTGCCAGTTTTACAGGAGAGTTACGAAAATGAACATCTGGCTACCCGGCTATTGTACAGACCCTGTTTTCTCCCAGCTTTTCTGCCTCTGTGGAACTTTCCCAAGCCTCCAGTGCAGTTAGAAAACCTGTAGCACCAAAAAAAAAAACAAAACAAAACAAGGGAGAGAATTAAATTACAGCAGATGGGATAGAGAGAGAAGATGGGAGGGGAGGGGAGGGGGGATAGTAGAGGATAGGAAAGGTAGCAGAATACAACAGTTACTAATATGGCATTATGTAAAAAATGTGGATGTGTAACCGATGAGATTCTGCAATCTGTATGCGGGGTAAAAATGGGAGTTCATAACCCACTTGAATCTAAAGTATGAAATATGATATGTCAAGAGCTATGTAATGTTTTGAACAACCAATAATAAATTAAAAAAAAATAAAATACACATTGCCTAATTAAAAAATAAATAAATTTTGAGCATGAAAAACCAAAAAAAAAGAAAACCTGTAGCAGGGCTGCTCTTAGGCTCAACTTTCCACTCCACTCTGACAATAATTTCATAAGGAATTTACAAAGCAAAAGGAAATATTTTCAGGTGATTGGAATGCTAAAAAAAAGGCCTAAGACCCATAAACCCACAAAGATGTGGAGTAGTCAAGGGATATCCCCTTCCTCCAGCAACCACATCAGGTCAAATTCAGAGTAGGAGAGTGCCTACTGCTTATCCAATGATGTCCTGAAGGAATGTAGGAACAGGGTCAAGCTGACAGGCTGAGAGCAATGTCCAATTTCACCTGTAAGAGATCAGCCTTTTTGATTAAATGAAGTCTGGGTACTAGGGTGAAAAGCCTAACATCATAGGTCCTTTAATGGGGACTAGTAACCAAGGCTAGGGGACGGTTGAAGAAGCCTCTGCAAATAAATATGACTCCAAGACTAATATTGACAGCCCTTCCAGCATATCCTCTCCCCACCAACCATGTGCTGCTGTGACTGCCAACACCTGCAGATAGAAAAAACACTGCCACTGGGAACCTTATGGATAACAAATGAGTCTTCTTCTACCAAGATATTAGCCATCATTCGATTCAATAATGTCTTTATGCTAGGTGCGAAATGGCACAAACCCTGCCCTGAGTGAGGCTTACAAACTAATTGGGACTCAAAGGTCCAAAGTACCTGTGTCTTACTGTACTTCCATTTGCAATGTTGATTTCCTCCTCTTATGGTCACAATTTATGGACTCTGCCTTCTCTCAAGTCCTCTGTCCTTGTTGGGCTTTAACTCCCACTGCTATCCTAAACTGGGTCTACAGCAGCCTAGTGAATAGTTAAGACAAAGTCTGTACCGATTGCCTGGGTAATCTCCAACCCGTGCTAGTGACCTTAAACAATCCCTTAATTTTTCTATGCTTCCATTTATTCATCTGTAAAATTAAGAATAATAGTATCTATTTCATGTAAAGATTATAAGAATTAAATAAGTAGAGTATAGGGTTTAGCATAGTTCCTGTAACATTGCACTGAGTAAATGATGTCATCCCAGGTGGCATGTAGGAGTTAATTATTCTATGAAGTTGGCCAGTGCCCACCACTTTGACCTTCTGATTTAGAGCTGGAGGCTGCAGTATTTCTTCCTTTTTCTGAATGTGCTAGGACAGAGTGCTTGTAGGGATGGGAACAAAGAGAATCATTTTCTACCTTCTCTTAAAAGCAGGTATTGTATCACATTAGAATATCTGTGGTACTTAGAATTGACAGCTCCAAATATATGTCTAAAGGAACTGGTATTTCCTTAACATTTGCTTGAATTGAATGGGGAGAGAATATTCCATGCCTCCCACTTTATACTCCTGATAAAGTCAACCAGGTATGGGACTATGATTGATAACCAGTCAATTGTTAGGCCAAAAGATTTCTATGCTTTATTACTTGACCTCATGATGAGCAAATTCTAAGGGCACCAGTGAGAGCCAACTCCCTACATGCTGACATGCTGTTTTTCTGTTGTTGGGATTAAACTCAGAGCTTTGCACATGCTAGGCAAGCCCTCTACCACTAAGCTGCTATACCCTGGCTCCCCACACTGTTCTTTGATGAGGATTTGGTAATAGCAAAATCCACGCATGAAGGGTACAGACTCTGGAACCATATTGTCTGGATTCAAATTCAATGTTACCATTAGCTTTTTTTATTTGCTGTACTGGGGTTCAAAACCCAGGGGCACTTTACTGCTACATTCCCAGTTCCTTTTATTTTTGAGACAGGGTCTCACTAAGTTGTAGAGACTGGCCTTAAACTTGCAATCTTCCTGCCTCAGCCTCTAGAGTTCCTGGTATTACAGTTTGTGGTCTTAAATTATTTAGTCTCAATTTCTTCTTCCTCTTCTTTTTTAAACAATGCCTTTATTTTTAAAAATTTTTATGTGGTGCTGAGGATTTAACCCAGGGCCTTGCATGTGCTAGGTGAGCACTGAACCGCTAAGCCACAACTCCAGCCCAGTCTCAACTTCATCTGCAATAAAGAAATGCACATAAAACAAAACAAAAATACAAATAATGAGTACTTGCCTCATGAGACTATTGTGAAAATATGTTTGTATGTATATGAGTCATATGCAGTTAGGCACCTAAAATGCAGTAGCTAATATTATTCCTGAAAATAACATGAATAAAATCACAGTCCCTATACAATACATATGGGAAAGCTGGGGATGCAGCTCAATGATAGGTCACTTGCCTAGCATGTATGAGGCCCCAATACTGAAAAAAAAAAATCATATAAAATGGGATGTAGTTCAATGTAGAACATCTGCTTGGCATAAGCCAAGGGTTCAATCCTCAGCACAATCACCCCCAAAAACAGATTACAAGAAATTATATGGGAAATTTTTGCCTTTTAGGAAAATATAATTTTTCATAGATAATCATGCCTTACTTTTTTGTTTTACTAATCAGAATTTCCACTTAAGATTACTGAAATGTAGGGCTGGGGATGTGGCTCTGCTCTAAGCTAAGGTACTTTGTCCTTACTTTGTGGTAGCGTGCTTGCCTGGCACACATGCAGCCCGGGTTCAATCCTCAGCACCACATACAAACAAAGATGTTGTGTCCGCCGAAAAACTAAAAAATAAATATTAAAAAAATTCTCTTAAAAAAAAATTACTGAAATGTAAACACATGGACGCCAATTGCTTATTGGGTCAGGAATGGTTTTACCATTCTGGGAAAAATAATCAGGAAATGACATACCAATAAAGGCAGAGAATCCAGGACCACTAATCACACTTAGGAAAGGGGTGTTTCAACCAGTTGCTTCCACAGGTTACTAAGAACTGCTTGTGGGGGTGAGGACAAGGGCTCATGTGCAGGTGGAACAGAGTAGCAGCATCTTACCCTCAGCTGTTTCCACTGAACTAAGTTCACACTCCCTTTGAGCTCTGAGCTCTAAACTTAGTGAGAAGGCCAGGGAGGTAACTTTCATCCTGACAGAGAAGCAGTAGCTAGCAGAGGAGGCTGCAGACTCCAGCTGGCTGTCTTGGAAAATACAGCAGTGCCCTCTGCTGTGAGGCACACAAGTGGCATTCTAGGGCAAGAACGTTTGGGAACCTTGAAAAAAAAAAAAATCAGTCCAGCAGCTCAGATATGATGGTGTGGGTTGCCCAATGGCTACAATACTCCTTTCTCATTGGAGGAATAAAAAAAAAAAAAAAAAAGTTGCCCTACTCTAGAACCCAGGAAGAATTTTTTTTTTTTTTGGTGGGGGAGTCTCTATTCTGCTCTAAGCTAAGGTACTTTGTCCTTACTTTGGTAAGTACTTTGTCCTTCCCTTGTCCTGGGCTTTTAATACTATTAGGTCAATGCAAGAGAATGATATGTTCAGTGAATCCCTCAGTTATCTCAGGTCAAGTAAGGCTGTAACTCAACATACATACAGTCTACTCACTTTAAAGAGCTCTAAGAAAGGAAAATCTGGAATCAATGTTCTGAAGAATGCATTTTAAAAGGTCTTCCTTGGATCTAACTGATTTGATATACTATACTTTTATTCTCTTTTATTCCTTTCTTCATGTTAACACAGATCTCTACTCTTACCTCCCTGAATCCTAAACTTGCCTTATGAGATGTAAAATGGAAGAGAGAATATAGGAAATGGCAAAAGTCAAAATCCCATTATAAACAGGGAAATCTGAATCCAATTCAGATCTATCAGCTACCTTGGAGAATGCTAATCATCTTTTTTTTTTTTTTTTGTACAGGGGATTTAACCCAGAGACACTTAACCACTGAACTATATCCCCAGTCCTTTTCTGTATTTTATTTAGAGACAGAGTCTCACTGAGTTGCTGAGGCTGACTTTGAATTTGCAATCCTCCTGCCTCAGCTTCCAGAGCTGCTGGGATTACAGGTGTGCACCACTGCACCCAGCTTCATCTTGGCTTTCTGGGCCTAGAGATCACACGGTGCCAAGTCTGGGAACACTTTTAAGCAACTCATACCAGGGAATGGTCAAGGAAAGAAACACCTGGGATATTGCTAAGAATACAATTTAAAACATTTTCCTTAATTCCAGAGCAGTGGTTCTCATACTTAGCATATATCAAATCACTTGAAAAGGGAAATTTTTTAAAACCCAAATTTTGGAGCCCTAACCTCAGAGGTTCTGACAAAGTCTGAGGTAGGCCATGAAAAATTGCATTTCACAAAAATTCAGATAATGCAGAGTCCAGAGTCCAAAGTTTTAGAACAAATTTTGAAGAAAACACTTTGGCCTCAGCTATGAATAAAAATGGCAACACTTTTATGTCTAAAGGAGGCCAATTTAGAATAAATTTATTTAGAATAAATTCTCGTGGTGCTAGAGATAGAACCCAGGGCTTTGTGACTGCTAGGCAAGCATTCAACCATTGAGCTGTATCCCTGTCCCCCTTAAAGAAGTCTAATTTGGTGATCATCTCCTTACATAAATTATCTAGGAGCATTCTGGGCTCACAACCCACTTCTCATTCTGCAATATTTACTTTCCCAGGAGGAAACAAAGAAAATACAAGAAAGAAGGTAGGCAACTTTCTTGCATACCTATAAGCCCAGGGAGAGAAAGATCTTTCTGACTTGTAAGAAGAATGTAAGAGAGGCTGGGTTGTAGCTCAATGGTAGAGCACTTGTCTTGCATGCATGAGACCCTGGGTTAGATCCTCAGCACCACATAAAAATAGACAAAGTTATTGTGTCCATTTACAACTAAAAAATAATTAAAAAAAAAAAAAAAAAAAAAGAAAGAATGTAAGAGTTCCCTGAAGAAACACAAATCTCAATGCAAGTCAAGACTAGACCTTTCTAGATCCAGCTTCAGGACTCAGCCACCAGTTAGCAAGCTCTACTTAAACCTAACCAATTCCCAAGCCTAGGATTTCATTAATGGAACAGCCTGTTGGTTTGCAGACTCCCCACCCACCGACACCCGCTACTGGGGATTGAACTCAGGGGCATTTGACTACTGAGCCACTACCCCAGCCCTGTTTTGTCTTTTATTTAGAGACAGGGTCTCACTGAGTTGCTTAGTGCCTTGCTTTTTGCTGAGGCTGGCTTTGAACTCACAATCCTCCGGCCTCAGCCTCCTGAGCCACTGGGATTATAGGCATGCACCACACCTGGCGGTTTGCAGGCATCTTTTTAACAATCTTGGGCTTAGCCATATAAAAGATAGTATGCAACCCTGAGGAGGAGGCTGTCTTTTGGTGACTCCTTCACTGCCATTTTTTTTTTTTTTTTTTAGAGAGAGAGAGAGAGAGAGAGAGAGAGAGAGAGAGAGAGAGAGAGAGAGAATTTTAATATTTTTTAGTTTTCGGCGGACACAACATCTTTGTTTGTATGTGGTGCTGATCGAACCCGGGCTGCACGCGTGCCAGGCAAGCGTGCTACTGCTTGAGCCACATCCCCAGCCCACTGCCATTTTTTTTTTTTTTTGGTATTGGGGATTGAACTCAGGGGCACATTACCACTGAGCTAAATCCCCAGCTTTTTAATTTTTAATTTTTTTTTTTTAAAGAGAGAGAGAGAGAATTTTTTAATATTTATTTTTTAGTATTTGGCGGACACAACATCTTTGTTTGTATGTGGTGCTGAGCATCGAACCCGGGCCGCACGCATGCCAGGCGAGTGCGCTGCCGCAGTCTGGCTGGGCACAAATGCCGCAGTCTGGCTGGGCACACAATCACGAGCCACCACACAGCTTGTAGATTCAAACAGCAACTCTTTATTCCCGAACTCACACCAGCCGTCTACAATCACGTTCTGGGGAAATCCACGTTCTCTTCCCAAATCCACGTTCTCTGCCCAAATTCACCTCCACTGGGCTTCTATCTCCAAAATATACTGTCTGAATCCCGTGAGAACTCAAGGGGAACTCAGGCAGCAGGATACGCCCTATTCCCAGCAGGAATAATCTTAAACCTTAAACCTGGAACCTAAACTGGGAACGCCCTAAACACGATTATCTTAAAACCGGGAACACCCTAATCTGCCTTGGTCCTTGAGCAAGGTCACCTACATTCAATGTCACTGCAACATGTCAGCAACATGGGGTACGCTGGCAAGGAAATTGTCATACCTACTTGGCTAATGGCTCCCAGCATCTCCCCCCTTCTGATTAATTAAACAACAAGCAATGTGGCTTAAGGACCGTGCCTGGTAGGTTGTCCAATTCAACATATGGTTCTTACCCGTCATCGGAAAACTGACCTTTAGGCGTCAGCCTCCTGTCTTAGGTTGATACCACTGCAATTGGATCATACCCATCACTGACTACCGGTCCAGCATACGCCATTGGCCCCCAAATTTTAGACCATCACTAGCAGAAGGGAGGAGGATACAGAAATGCCACGACACCAAGCCAATTGACGGCTCCTTGGGAAAAATTGCATCACTGGTGACACCATCAGCAAAGATATGCCAGCACTACCACAACTAACATGGGGTGCGCTGGCAAGGAAATAAAAATTGCATCACTGGTTAATCACTGTCGCAGATGTAAGAATGGCCAAGCTGGAGTTCTGGATATCGGCTGTTATGGATTTGAGTCAAATCATCTTCTTTTCGATCTGTAGAAATTGTTTTAGTTAATCTCTCTGGAATCCAAATTGGCTGCTGTTCTCCCTGTAGAAACACACAAACAAAACCCCAACTCCAGACAATCACTGGGTCAGGACCTTTCCATTGTCCTGTTAGAATATCTTTCCAAAGTACCTTAGGCTTATGTACATTTTTTGGATACATATGTCTTTCCGCAGCACTAAGTCCTTATGAATCCAAATTTTAAAAGTTTAGTGTAAAAACGGTGATTTTAAGTTTATCTTTGGGGCATATATACCCCTTAAAGATCATCTTCTAGTTTTCCTTTAAGGTTAGTACATTCACCCTTAGTTGCTTTTTTTCCTCCTAGTTTTTTTTCTTCCTATTTTGTGGGTTTAAAATTCTTGTCTTCCTACATTTTTTAATCTTTCTACATCTTGTTTATCTTTTTCTTTTTAACTTTCTATACTTCTGTCTTTAAAGTTTTTCACTTCAAATTTTTAATCTTCTTTATCTAAATATCTTTTATCCTATTATCTTCCCATTTTTTAAAGTAATGCCTTTAAGATTAATTAGGCTTCCAATGATGCAATAAAGCAATCTTTTTTTCCGCCATGAAGGTATCTCGACCACCTTCAATTTAACCTTTTAAAGCCTTTTAATTATCATCTATACTGTACTTTTAAATGTACTTTTCACCACCTACAACTTCACTCTTCTAAACGAGACTTAGATTTTTTTTAAATCGCTTCAATGTTAGTTTACATGGCTGCCCTTCAACCAAAGGCTTTTTTTTTTTTTTTTAACTCCATTGAGAAGCTTTGTCTCAATCTGCCATGTACAAATACCTTTTTCTTCTTTCTTCCTTTCTCAAGCTTTTAAAGTAAGTCTAGTTTCCTCAAAATCTTTTTAAATGGCATTTTACAACTTTTACTTTACCACATAGAGATTATCTCATCTAGAAACATTTATTTTTCCTTTAACCTTTTATATTAAAATATATTTCCACATCTTGAATCTTTTTCTATCTCTTTTTTAACCGTTAACCCTTTTTATAAATTCACATTTTGAAACAACTCTTATAAAATTTCTGATTTAGACAAATTACTCCACTTTAATAAGATGAAAGACTTTCATGTTTTTTATGATACTATAATACTATAATTGAAACCCAACTGAAAATTTTTCTACTCTTTGTATATAAATTACACATGATAGAATCTTAACACTTAGTAACCTTGTTTTAGCAAAGACACAGACACAAAGCAATATTAAACATTTTTCCATTTACCAATTTATGAAAACACACATAATGTTTAAATATATTACCTTATGGAACTTAATAAGTAAAGAGTACTTGATCTTATATTTAGTGGTTGATATTTTAACACTTTAGCTTTGTAAATTAATTAGATGTCTGTAAAAACCAAGATCTTAGACAAATGTAGTAAACAGAACTAGCCATCTCTTTCTTGTTGAAGAAAAATCCTTCTACAGGATACCATGATGGTCCCATTGATATACTTAATAACTCGTCTTTAAAAAGCCATGGGCTACATTTTTGTATTGTATCAACATATGCCCTAATTGTTCTTGGTCTCACTGAGGTGCCTCCCTCCTCTAACAATTTAACTTCAAACCTTGAGTCAACCATTTTCCCCAGTTTGCCTGAGAAAGTTCTAGGAACAGGCAACTTGAAATAAAAACAAAATAAATCAAAACAATAGCATATTGTTTTTGGAATTGGTCACCCATTCTTTCTCTCTTCCTCAAGGGTGAGAAATTTCACTTACCTCTAATCTTTAGAAGTTCCCCGTACGGGCCACCAAATGCCACTGTCTGGCTGGGCACAAATGCCTCAGTCTGGCTGGGCACACAATCACGAGCCACCACACAGCTTGTAGATTCAAACAGCAACTCTTTATTCCCGAACTCACACCAGCCGTCTACAATCACGTTCTGGGGAAATCCACGTTCTCTTCCCAAATCCATGTTCTCTGCCCAAATTCACCTCCACTGGGCTTCTATCTCCAAAATATACTGTCTGAATCCCGTGAGAACTCAAGGGGAACTCAGGCAGCAGGATACGCCCTATTCCCAGCAGGAATAATCTTAAACCTTAAACCTGGAACCTAAACTGGGAACGCCCTAAACACGATTATCTTAAAACCGGGAACACCCTAATCTGCCTTGGTCCTTGAGCAAGGTCACCTACATTCAATGTCACTGCAACATGTCAGCAACATGGGGTACTCTGGCAAGGAAATTGTCATACCTACTTGGCTAATGGCTCCCAGCAGTGCGCTACCGCTTGAGCCACATCTCCAGCCCCCCAGCTTTTTAATTTTTGAGGCAGGGTTTCACTAAATGGCTTAGGTCCTTGCTAAGTTGCTGAGGCTGGCTTTGAACTCACAATCCTCTTGCCTCCTCCTCCCAAGTTACTGGGATTACAGGTGTGCGCCACCACAAATGGCTCACTGCCATTTCTTTCTTTCTTTCTTTCTTTTCCAACATCCTCAGCCTTTTCCTGTATTTTATTTAGAGACAGGATCTCACTGAGTTGTTTAGTGCCTTGCTTTTTGCTGAGACTGGCTTTGAACTCATTATCCTCCTGACTCAGCCTCCTGAGCCACTGGGAATACAGGCACGTGCCCCTGCACCCGGCTTGCTGCCACTTCTTCATCCACTATCACAGGTCCATGTCCTTCAATAGGAGAGCAATCTGTTCCTTCAGTTGCCGCTTTCCTTCCTGAGCTTTCCTCTGGCTTTGACACCTCAGCAGCTCAGCCTGGTGGTCCTGGTGATGCATAGGGCAGTAGCTCTGGGGTTCACACAGCTCCTGAAAGGCAGAGAATAGAGTAAGGGATTCCCCAGATTCCTGAACTCTGCCTACTAAGTATAACAGAGATACTGCTGCTGGCTATGACTAAAAAGAAACAGAAGTTTTTTCTCAGAGGCTTTACAGCCTCTGTGTGTTGCATGCTAGAGCTAACTTCCCTTAGTCTGCCTTCCACCCTGTGCCCTACCCTTTACCACATATTCTGGAAAGAAGTCTCTGTAGCCGCCTTTGAGAATATATAGCTCTGGATAGTACAAGGTAGGATACTGGTTCAGAGCTCTGTCTTCTTCTCTCAGAGAGCGGCACCTTTAGGAAAAATCAAGAGATTGTAGGGGTGGGTAGGTTGGAAAGAAGCAAGGTCAGAATCCCCTGGGCATGCATATAACCATGGGTTCAATCCCCAACACCACACACACACAAAGTGAAACTTCTGTGTTTGCAAAAACAAGGTCCAAACATCACCCCTCTTCTTCCTTTCCTCTTCTGCAGTCTCATTTTCAATCCTTTTCCCTGTATTGCTTTTGTGGCACTAGGGACTGAATCCAGAGCTCTACAATTGGGCTATATCCCAAGTTCTTGTTATTTTTTATTTTGAGACAGGGTCTTGCTAAGTTGCCAAGGCTAGCCTTGAACTTGAGATATTCCTGCCTCAGCCTCTCAAGCGGCTTCGATTATAGGAGTGTACCATTGTGACTGGCTTGCTCCATATTCGATTTTCAACCTTCCTAACATTCTTCAAATAGTATTGGAGAGCATCCAGTCAATCTCCATCTAAACTGGTGTGAGAAGTCCACCTCAAGATCCATCCATTTCTACATGGATGCCATGGAACATGCCTATAATCTCAGGGACTCAGGAGGGAGAGGCAGGAGGATCACAAATTCAAGGCATGATGGCATGACTCAGTGATACCCTATTTCTTTCATTCATTCATTCATTCATTCATAAATAAATAAATAGGGTTGGGGATATAGCTCCGTAGAGCACCCCTGGGTTCAATTCCCATTATTAGGGAAAAAAAAATCCATTTCTATTGCCCACCTTATCCCATGTAGACACTCACATTCTGGGGCCCCTCTCTGAGGAGAATTCACAGTGAAACACGATGATTATTCTTTTCTGGATGTCCAAGGGGACAATGGGTTTCTTCAGGAAGAAGTTATATAGTTCTTTCTGACTATATAAGTTTAAGGCTCCCTGTAGAGGATGAATTTTTTTTTTTTTTAAGAGAGAATTTTTTTAATATTTATTTTTTAGTTTTTGGCAGACACAACATCTTTGTTTGTATGTGGTGCTGAGGATCAAACCTGGGCCACACGCATGCCAGGCGAGCGCGCTACCTCTTGAGCCACATCCCCAGCCCAAGGAGGAATTTTAATTAGTATTCCCTCCAGAGCCTGTGTAAAGTATCAATACTAGAAATGACTAGTATAGCATCCTGGGATACTTAGGTCAGAAAAAGTAGACAAAAAGAACTTTCAAATAGGGACCTTTGTGTATCTCTGTATCTACTCCAGGGCCTGGCTTAGAACTTGGTATGTAGTAGATTCTCAATAAATACGCATAGAACTGAATCACCTGGAGTGTAGGGATCATTGCAAGGAATGTCCATACACAGTGTTCAGTCTGTGGATAGAAGAGATCGGTTGAGAAGGGAAAAGAAAAGTAAGTCGCTCAAGGTATACAGAATTAAAATAGGAATGAGAATTTCAGCCTGGAAGTGTTCCAAATCTATAATCTCTGCTTTGGTTTTAAACTTCACAGGACTCTTTATCCACAGACTCCTTTTAAGAAAGTCCCATCTTTGCCAGGTATAGTGATGCACTCCTGTAATCCCAGTGACTTGGAAGGCTGAGACAGGAGGATCACAAGTTTGAGGCCAGCCTCAGCACCTCAGTAAGGCCCCAAGCAACTTAGAGACCCTGTCTCAAGAAAAATTAGGGCTGGGGTTGTAGCTCAGTGGTAAAGTGCTTGCCTACATGTTTGAGGCACTGGGTTCAATTCTGAGCACCACATATAAATAAATGAATAAAATAAAGATTAATCAACATCTAAAAAAATATTAAAATAAATAAAAATAAAAAAGGATGAGGATATGGTTCAGTGGTTAAGCACCCCTGCATTCAATTCCCCGCCAAAAGAAAGAAAGAAATTAAGTCCCATATCTAGCCCATCTCTGCTAATGTCCACAATGTAACCTTACCTGGATGTGTCCTCCCAGGTACTCATATGGATAGCGGCAATCAATGATATAAAACTTCTCAATCAGATCTTGGAACTTTCCAGACAGTAAGGCAGCCACCTACACAGAAACAATGATTGAATACCCTGCTCATTGCCCTCTGACAGAGAAGTGTCAATCACATTGCTCCTTATGTGCACGCTCCCATTAGTCACCCAGGATTCCACTATAATCAAGAGTCAACCCATATGTGCAATGTGGTGGTTCAGCCTAACCCCACATAAGATTATGAAATGGGGGCTGGGGATGTGGCTCAAGCTGTAGTGCACTCGCCTGGCATGCGTGCGGCCCAGGTTCGATCCTCAGCACCACAAACAAACAAAGATGTGTGTCCGCCGAAAACTAAAAAATAAATATTAAAAAAAAAAAAAAAATTCTCTCTAAAAAAAAGATTATGAAATAGAAGTGGCATTTGTAAGGCTCTAAAATGGCTAGTATTGCCAGGACACCAAGGAAGACCTTACTGCAGCTACCCATTTAGAGGTAGGAGTAGCTGGAATTAGCTTCTTAGGAGATTTCAAAAGACTTCTACAGTAGCAGAGTTAGCAGCTAGAGATGCCAGTTTTACAAGATATGGGGAAAAAAAATTCCCCACCTGCATTTAAAAAAAAAAAAAAATGCATGCATAAGGCCCTGGGTTCAATCCTCAGAAAATAAAAATTTCAAAAGCAAGCCTTGGGATTGGGGATTTAGCCAGAGACAGACTGCTTGCCTAGCATATGCATGGTCCTGGATTTGGTCCTTGGCCCTGAAAAAAAAAGAAGGGAAAAAAGAAGAAAAAAAAAAAAGCAAGTCTTTCAGACATAGAAAAAAAGAATTCATACTTAGAGGTAGAAACTTAAGCTACTTATAGAGGTATAAATTGGTTCACAATGGAGAGAACACTGTGAATAAAAATTTCTCTTCCAACATTTTTTTTTTTTTGAAGGGGGAGGGACTTGAACCTGGGGTGTTCTACTACTAGGCTTCATCCCCAACTCCTATTTTGAAATAGGGTGTAGTTGAGTTGCCCAGGCTGGCCTAAAATTTGTGATGCTTCTGACTGAGTCTCTTGAGTAGCTGGGATTACAGATGTGCACTATGATGCTTGGCTTCTAACATCTTAAGTAAACAGAAAAATACACAAAGATGTAGGCACAATTTGATATTAATACAACATTGTTTTACGTTATCAAAATATTAGAAATAAGTTAAATATTCAATAAGGGGTTGAGGTTATGGCTCAGTGGTAGAGCACTTGCCTAGCATGTATGAGACTTGGGTTCGATCCTCAGCTTCACATATAAATAAATAAAATAAAGGTATTGTGTTCAACTACCACTAAAAAATAAATATTTTAAAAAATATTCAATAAGGGGTTGGTTAAATAAGTTATATACATGTCAGTACAGCAGAATATTATATAGCAGTTAATATGATACTATATATATCTTTTTATTGATATAGAAATTCGTATATGCCAGGTGTGGTGGCATCCCAGCAATTTGGAAGGCTGAGGCCTGAGGATCACAAATTTGAGGGCAGCCTCAGCAACTGAGCAACCCTGTCTCAAAATAAAAAATAAAAAGGCATAGGGGCTGGGGATGTGGCTCAAGCGGTAGCGCGCTCGCCTGGCATGCGTGTGGCCCGGGTTCGATCCTCAGCACCACGTACAAACAAAGATGTTGTGCCTGCTGAAAACTAAAAAATATTAAAAAAATTCTTAAAAAAAAAAAAAAAAGGCATAGGGATGTATCTCAGTTGTAGAGCACCCCAATCCCCAGTATCAAAAGAAAAGAAAGAGACAATTATGATGTCTTACTAATTCCAACACTTTTTCTTTTTTTTGGGTACTGGAATCAAATCCAGGGGTTTGTGCATAGTAGGCCAGAACTTACCATTGAGCTAGACCACCCAACCCTTTTAAAATTTTATATTGAGATAGGGTCCCACTAAGGGTCCCACTAAGTTGCCCAGGCTGGCCTTGAACTTGTGATCCTCCTGCCCTAGTCTCCCAAGTAGGTGGGATCTATAGGCATGTGCCATCATGCCTGGCATAATTCGCATTTTTATAAAACATACTATTATTAAATCTAGAAAATATCTCTAGTGGTTATATCTTTGCTGGTAAAACTATGAGTCAAGGGACTACATAATTATTGTACATACTGGGAAACTTTCTGAGAATAAAAGAGAACATGAGCTGGGTACAGTGGCCCATACCTGAAATCTCAGCTACTCAGTAGGCTGTGGCAAGAGGATCACATGTTCGAGGGCAGCCTGGCAGCTTAGTGAGACTTTATCTCAAAGTATAAAATTTAAAAAAGGACTGGGGATACAGCTCATGGTAGATCACCACTGGATTCAATTTCTAGTGCTGGGGGTGGGGGTGGGAGGGAAGAGAACACTATTAATAATTATCCTAATAGATATAAAAGGGATTATAATATAAAAAGACAAGGTTTATGTTTACTTTATCTGAGACCCTAGGTAAGTAGTATTTTTTTCCTTTTTGTGTTTGCATCCCTCCCTCCTTCCTTCCTGTTTTTTAAAAATACTTATGCATCATTTGTTTAAAACAAAAAATCAGAAAAATGGACAAAAAAGGGAGTACTTTAATACAGTTTCAGTTGAATAAGGAGCCTATGTGAATGAACACAATGAAAGAAATACAAATGGAAATGGGATTTTAGTAACAGAATGGACCAGATGGTAGCTTATGTAACCAACCAGTTACCATCTCCAGAAATCTGCTTACTGTTTCTGGGTTGATGTACTTCAGATCCTGGTGTCTCCCTGACACGACTGGCAGCACACATACCTAGAAATACCCAAAAGCTGAAATAACAGCAAGTATTCTCCAACCAAGCCTGAGATCAAAGACCCATATATTGTCCTCCTTTCAAAAGATTCTTAAAACCCCAAAGCTTTAAAAATCAATGGTCTCTATAACATGTATATGCAGCAATTCCTTTTCTTTTTTTTTTTGGTGTAGGGAATTGAACCCAGATGGGCTTAACCACTGAGCTACCTCCCCAGCCCTTTGTATTTTATTTTGGGACAAGGTGTCACTAAGTTGCTTAGGGCCTTGCTAAGTTGCTGATCCTCCTGCCTCAGCCTCCCAACTCACTGGAATTATAGAAGTGTGTAACTGTACCTATAATTTTATTTCTAAGAACTGATACCAAGGAACTAATGAAGGATGTGTATGAAGTTTTAGATTTCTTTACAAAACACACACTTCATTTATAAGGAAAAAATATAAAACTAAATAAAGCTAAATATCCCACAAGATGAAACTTATGAATAAATTATAATCAGCCAAAAAATTAAATAATGTATGCTATTCAAAATGATGAAAGGATGGGTATGGGTGGTATATGCCTGTAATCCTAGTTACTTGGGAGGCTGAGGGTAGGATAGGTTACAGGCCAATGTCAGCAACTTAGCAAAACCCTTAACAATTTAGTGGAATCATGTCTTAAAAACAAAACCAAACCAAAAATCCAAAATGGCTGAGGATGAAAAAATGATGAAATAAAACTGTTTTGTGGACATGAAAAGATGTTCGTAACATAATTTTTTTCTTTTTTGGCAGTACTGGGATCAAACCCGTACTGCATGCTAGATAAGTGCTCTACCACTGATCTATATCTTTAGCCCCATTATATAATATAAAATTGGGGATGAAAGCCCAATAGATTACAAAATAGCATAAGAAATTTTTGTAGAAAAACAGAAAATGTATTTGTTATTTGTGTAATTATACTGAAAAAAAATCTATGGGAACATACACCACATAATAACTATTCTGATTTATAATGTTTAGAACAAGTTTCTTCATTTTCTACTTTTTCAGAATTGGCCAAGTATTATTAATATAATTTTTAAAAAGATTTTTAACAATAAGAAGATAAAAAGTGTCGGGGGGAGCATGGGACGATTAGATGAACTCTAGATAGAGCAAAAGGGAGGGAGGGTAAGGGAGGGGGCATGGGGATAGGAAAGACGGTGAAATGAGATGGACATCATTACCCTAAGTACATGTATAAAGACATGAATGGTGTGACTCTACTTTGAGTACAACCAGAGATATGAAAAATTGTGCTCTATATGTATAATATGAATTGTAATGCATTCTACTGTCATATATAACAAATTAGAATTTAAAAAAAAGATAAAAAGTATCATACTTTCCCCACTGTTCTGGATTTTCCTAGATAAATAAGAAATACTTTCTCTCTGGAAAGGCATAAGACTAAGATCTACCTGCACATACCTTCAAGTTTACAAAGAGTACTTTGTGACCATGTAAAATTATACCTGACATCTTCTGAAAACAGAAGAAAAAGATTAAAATCCAAAGCAACTCACTAAAATACAGGAAGAGGCTGACGATGCAACTCAGTGGTAGTATGCTTGCCAAGCATGCATAAGGAAAAAAAAAGAAACCTATACAAACACACCCCCACATACACACATAAATGATGAATATAACCAAACTCACCTTGGAAAAATCACCAATCAGAGGCCTCTGGTTATAATCTTCCTCCAGAACCCGAGTGATATTAGTGTCACAGAAAGAGACCTCCTTCTTTAAACATAAACCCTGAAATGACAAGATTTCCACTCATTCCTCCAATCTTCATGTTCAAGGTTTAATTTTTTTTTTTTTAATATTTCATGTTTGGACACAATGCCTTTATTTTTTATTTTTATGTGGTGCTGAGGATCGAACCCAGTGCCCCACACATGCTAGGCGAGTGCTCTACCACTGAGCCATAACCCCAGCCCCCATGTTCAAGGTTTAAAACCAGAAGATGGAAGCCAGGTGCAGTGGTGCACACCTATAATCCCAGTGAGTCAGGAGGCTGAAGCTGGAGGAGTATAAATTCGAGGCTAGCCCTGGAAATTTAATAAAACCCTGTCTCAAAAAGGTTCAGGAATGTAGGTAGCTCAGTGGTAGAGTGCCTCTGGACTCAATCCCTAGTACTGCAAAAATAAATAAATAAATAAAATAAAAATAAAAATACACACACATAAAAGCTCTTGAGGAAGGGGAGATTAGAGTCTCATTAACAATATGCATACCCTTTGATCTAATACTTTCACTGGCTTCCCCAAGGAAATAACAATATGTATAAAGACTTGGCTATAAGAATGGATCATCCTGGCATGTTTATAACAGAGTACAATTACTATCCAATTAAATATTCAATAACAGGGTTTATAATAATAATAAAAAGTATATTGTGGATTAATTTTGCACGCATAGAAATAAATTTATGATTAAAAACTACATATTTTCTAACTTTACTTAGAAAATATGTAGTTTGTAATTCCACTTTTTTTTTTTTTTTTGGCAGCACTATTTCTGGCCTGTGGGATTATAGGTATTTTACTTTGACTTCTCTTTGCTTATTTGTATTTTTTTCTTTCTTTTTTTCTTTTTTTTAAAGTACTGGGGATTGAACCTAGTGGTGCTTTACCACTGAGCAACATCTCCAGTCCTTTTGATTTTGAGACAGAGTCTTGCTAAATTGCCCAAGCTGGCCTCAAATTTGTATCTTCCTGCCTCAGTCTCTCAGACTGCTGGGATGACAGGCATGTATCAAGGTGCCCAGTCTCTTATTTATTACAGGCATGTATCAAGGTGCCCAGTCTCTTATATCATATTGAATTTATAAAATGACGAAAAATTTAGAATTTTTTTAAAAACAGGATAGGGAACAAGGACTAGTTTTTTCTGAAGTTTCTTTCTACCACACCAATCTGCAATCTGCCACATGATGTTGTTTCTGCCAGACTGCATGTAAAACAGCAATAAGTATCCATACCAACCCAAGTTCCCTTGAATTCTCTCAGATCTTTAAAAAAAGAGGGTTGGAAGATAATATGATGACATCATTTCTAAAAGTATAATGTAACAGATATTTATTTTCAAATATTTTATAAATGGTTGCAGTTATAGAAAAGAAAAAAATGAAGAGAGAAAAAAGGAATGAGGATGAATTCAAAAAAGGCATACTAATGCAATGCCAAAGCTAGAAAAGCAGAGAAGATAATTAGATAAAAGATCGTTATTTTAGCTTCCTGAGCTCTTGCTGGTCAGAACAATATATTTTTTTTTTCACTTATCTGGTATTTAGTTGTCTTTAACTTTTACTACCTGCCTTATTCTTGCCCTGTTCAAATTCTCTGGCATTGAGGGTGAGTGATACTGGCACCTTCTGTTTCAGTGATGCCTATTTGAGAAAGAATATCAGATTCCTTAGTTCTTATTTCTCAAGGTGTGTCTGGAGACCAGTAGCATCAAAATTTCCTGGAAGCTTGTTTGGAATGCAGAATTTCAGATGCACCCCAGATCTACTTAATTAAATTAAAATCTGCATTTTTAACAAGATGCCCAGATGATTTCTAAGAACACTTTGAACATGTGAACCTCCTACCTCAGCCTCTTCAGTCACTGGGATTATAGGTGTGTGCCACTGTACCTGGCAATTTAGTGAGTATATTCTTGGAATTGAGTTAAAATTAACTGAAAAGTCCTTGGAAAATTTCTCAAAAATTAAGAAACTATTTTTTTCTTTCTTTCGTTTTTGCAGTTCTGGAGATTAAAACCAGGAGCACTTTACTACTGAGCTATGAGCTACATCCCCAGCTCTTTTTATTCATTATTTTGAGACAGAGCCTAGCTAAGTTGCTGAGGCTGGCCTTGAACTTGCAATCCTCTTGCTAAAATGGTATTAAAGTAATATTATAAAGAACTTTACACCAATATATTTGACTATGTAAATGAAGTAGACAAATTCCTTAAAAGACATTAACAACCAAATTCACTCAATCAAAAAAAAGATATGCTGAATAGTTCCATATTTATATAAAAAATTGAATTTGTTGCAAACATTCTCACAAAGAAATGCTCAGGTGACTTTACTAGTGAATTGTACCAAACATTTAAAAAAGAAACTCTTCTAGGAAACTGAAAAAAATTCTTTTCAAACGGTTTACTGATGGTAGCATTATACTGATACTAACACCAAAAGATATTACAAGAAAAACAAAACACTGAAGAGAAATAAAGCTCATGAACATAAGTACAAAAATTCTCAATGAAATTTTAGCAAATCAGGCCAGGTGCAGTGGCACATGTCTGTAATCCCAGCAGAGAGATTACTTGGTAGGCTGAAATAGGAGGTTACAAGTTCAAGAAGAGCCTCAGCAACTTATCGTGACCCTAACTTAAATCCCCAGTACAAAAAAAAAAAAAAAAAAAAAAAGTACAAATCCCTATTCTTAACTAAATAAATATAAAAAGAATAATATATCGTATATCATAACTTAGTAAAGTTATCACAAGAATCCAAAGTTTTTTTTTTGTTGTTGTTATATTTTGCAGTATGGGGATGCAATCTAGGGTCTCATGCAGGCTAGGCTAGTGTTCTATCACTGAATTACATGTCCAGCCCTTTTTAAATTTTATTTCGATATTTATTCATTTAACTCTAGATAGAAACTTAGGTCATTTCCTATCTTGAGCTGTTATAAATCAAGTTTCTATAAACTTAGTTGTACATGTCTTTGGTGGACATATGCACTCATTTTCCCCTGGCTTATCATCCAGAATGAATTTCAGGGTCATAAAATGCTTAGGTATAGGAGTACTGTCAGTTTTCCAAAGCAACTGCACCAATTAAAAAACTCAAGGGGCTGGGGATGTGGCTCAAGTGGTAGCGGGCTTGCCTGGCATGTGTGCGGCCCGGGTTCGATCCTCAGCACCACATACAAACAAAAAGATGTTGTGTCCGCTGAAAACTAAAAAATAAATATTAAAAACTCTCTCTTTAAAAAAAAAAAAAAAAAAAAAAAAAACTCAACAGCAGGGCTGTGGCTCAGCAGTGGTGTACTTGGGTTCAATTTTCTGCACCACATATAAATAAATAAAACAAAGGTCTATCTATCAACAACTAAAACATATTTAAAAATATTTTAAGGGCTGGGATGTGGCTCAAACGGTGGCGCGCTCGCCTGGCATGCGTGCGGCCCGGGTTCGATCCTCAGCACCACATACAAACAAAGATGTTGTGTCCGCCAGATACTGAGGAGTAAATATTGAAAAATTCTCTCTCTCTCTACCTCTATTTCTCTCACTCTCTCTTAAAAAAAAAAAATAAATAAAATTAAAAAAAAAAATTACGTATAAAAAAAAAAAAAAAATATTTTAAAAACAACAGCAATAATATGAGGATTCAAGTTGCCCCTTGCACCTTTTCCTCGGCATGCTTGTTTTCAATACCCCAGCAAGTGTATAGTGATATATCACTGTGTTGTTAAATTGCATTTCCCTAATGACCATAGGTCTAATAACCATGTTTCTCTTTTTTAAAAATATTTATTTTTTTAATATTTATTTTTTAGCTTTAGGTGGACACAATATCTTTATTTTATTTTTATGTGGTGCTGAGGATTGAATCCAGGGACTCGCACGTGCAAGTGCTCTACTGCCGAGCCACAAACTCAGCCCCTGTTTTCCCTCTTTTATGAAGCACCTTTCAAAGTTTTTTTTTTGGTCCCTTTTTAAAAATTTGTTCTTTAGATTCAATTATTTCTTGGTGTCCTTTCTGTTGAGAGCCACAGCCGAAGGGGCCCCAGCAAACTTTCAGACTGCCAGCTGATGATTGGCTCACAGCGGCCCCAGCAACATCTAGCTGATTGGCTCCTCTGCGGTGATGCTCATTGGGCTGCTTCCCTGCCCTTTCAGGCCACGGAGCTGCTCACTGGGGGACTTTTTTGGCTCTGCCCGCGCACCCAGCCAATCGGCCTCAAGAGCAGGAGGATTGTGGGAGGTGGAGAGGCTGGTGGTTGTGGGAGAGGCTTGTGGGAAGCCGGTGGTGGCAGTTGGGCTCTGAGGGTTTTTCCTGAGGAGCTGTTTTGTTTGGCGTGTGTGGTTGTAAAAATAAAGTTAGTTTCTTTTGACAAGTGGCTCCTGAATTGTGCCCAGCCAGACTGCGGCACTTTCTATATATTCCGTATACAAATCCTTTAATGGATAATGCGTTTCAAACATCTTGCATTCTATGGCTTGTGTTTCCTCTATTTATGGTATCTTAATAAATAAATAATTTTTATTTTGAGACAGGGTCTCATTAAGTTGTCTAGACTGACCTCAAACTTGTAATCCTCTTGCCTCAATCTCCCAAAGAACTGAGACTATATAGACACTGCACCAGGCTTGCAAGATTTTTTTTTTTTGTGGTGCTGGAGATTGAACCCAGGGCCTAAGTGCATGCAAGGCAAGCACTCTACCAGCTGAGTTATTTTCCCATCCCACAAGATTGTTTTAATCTTTGAATATCAAGCAATGTAATTCATAATATTAACAGATTAAAAGGAAACTCATGTTTGTCTCAATAGTCACAGAGAAAGCCTTTGACAAAATCTAAATACCTGTTCCTGCTAAAAATCTCTCAGCAAATTAGGAATACAAAAAGACATCCTCAACCTGATGAAGGGAATCTCAAGAAACCTATAGTAAACATCATATTCAATATATAAAATTTAATGCGCACTGGGGTTGTGGCTCAGCATTAGAGTGCTCGCTTAGCACGTTTGAGGCCCTGGGTTCAATCCTCAGCACCACATAAAAATAAATAAATAAAATAAGGGTATTGTGTAAACTACAACTAAAAAATATTAAAAAAACATTTTTTTAAATGCTTTTCTCCTAAGATCAAATACAAGGCAAGGGGTTCTCAATAATTTTTAAGACTGTAAAGGAGTGGGGGGAGAAAAAAAAATTGTAAGGGAGTCCCAAAACCAAAAAACTTGAGAACTATTAATCTAGAAGAAGGGAAAATTAATACAGGAAATAAAAATAAAGTAAGAGTAGAAAGATGCTTCCAACAGCCTCAAGCATTTCTGTATTCTTTGCAATGACTTAAAAAGACCTACATGACCTGTCCTCCCCACATTTTCTACCATTCTCCACTTGTTCACTTTGCTCCAGTCACACTGATCTTACTATTATTCCCAAATGTGCCAAGCTCAGGTATATAGAGTGTAGAGTACACTTGCTTTTTCTTCTGGCTGAAACAACTCACTCCCATACTCACCCTGTTTGTTTGTTTGGCTCCCTTGCTCCTTCAGGTGTCTGCTCAAATGTCACTCTTACGAGGTCTTTTCTGATCTAACATACTGAAAAATCAACTCTAGCCCTACCCAACCCCAATCAAGATACTCCTATTTTTTTTTTGAACCAAGGATGGAATCCAGCAGTGGTTTACCACTGAGCCACATCTCTAGCCCTTTTTTTTTTTTTACATTTTATTTAGAGACAGAGTCTCACTGAGTTGCCTAGGGCCTTGCTAAGTTGCTGAGCCTAGCTTTGAACTCGCGATCCTCCTGCCACTGGGATTACAGGCAGGTGCCACCATGCCTGGCTCAGATACTCCTCTTTGCCTGCTTTACCATCAGAGTATTTTTAGCATCTGCCATTTTATACATATGTTTATTTGTTTCCTCTTGTCTAGAATGTAAGATCCATGAGAGTAGCATTCTATTGTGTTGGTGTGCTCCTTACTGTATCCTCCAAAAATAGAATGAATAGGATGTGGTATGAAGGGAGAGCTTTAGATAGGAGCAGGGATATCTGTAGAATAGCAGATTATGTAAGTATCAAAGCAGATAATTTGCTATATTTGGCAAGAAAAGAAGGTAGTTTTCTTCTGATTGCTTCTGTTTTCTCTTTGAATCAAAACCTATCAAACTTGGGGCCGGGGTTGTAGCTCAGTGGTAGAGTGCTTGCCCGACATGTGTGAGGTTCTGGGTTCGATCCTCAGCACCACATAAAACTAAATAAACAAAATAAAGGTATTGTGTCCATCTACAACTAAAAATATTAAAAAAAAAAAACAAAAAAACAAAAACTGTCAAACTTAACATGTTTAAAGTTATATTTAATCTCCTCCTTCTTGCACAGCCTGCAACCAACCTATTAAATTCTGTTGAGTCTATCCTCCAAAATATATTCTGAATTCATCCATTTCTCTGCCTCTATAGCCTCTACCTTAGTTCAGGCTATTGCCATTTTTTTTTTAAAATAGTTTTAGTTTTAGATGGGCACAATTCTTTTATTGTTTATTTAGTTTTTTTATGTGGTGCTGGGGATTAAACCCAGGGCCTCACACATGCTAGGCAAGCACTCTACCACTGAGCTACAACCTCAGCCCCTGCTACTTCTTTTTGTTTTATTGAGATGGGATCTCACTGTGTTGGTCAGGCTGGTCTTGAATTCATGGGTTCAGGTGATCCTCCTGCCTCAGCCTCTCATTAGCTGGAACTAACACCACCACACCTAGCTTACCACCAACTCTTGCCAGGACTATAGCAAAGCTTCCTTCTCTTACTATTTCCAACTTAATTTTTTACCCATTATTCCCAATCTAGCATTGAGAATGGTCTTCATAAAACAAAAATCAGAGCATATTATATTCCTGCTTAATACCGCCCCCAATAGTGTCCAACTGTACTTAAAATAAAATCTAAACATTCACCATGGTCTAAAAAGCCCTTTATGTCCTGCCTCCTGACTACCTCTTTTTTCCCAACTCATGCAAATCTCCCCTTACTCACATTGGCTTCTCATGTCCTTGAGAACCCAAAGAACTTTTCAACACTGGGAACTTTCTACATGCCACATACCCTTATCAAGGTACACTCTTTCTTCTACTTGTCATGTATGTTACCCTTCAGAACTAGGGTAACCAACTTTATCTCAGTTTGTCTAGGACTTTCCCAGCTTTATCATATAAGATCCCACATTCTAGGAACAGTTTAGTTCACCACCCTATTCTTAACTAAATATCCCTGCTGTGAAAATAAAATTTCCCTTAGTTTCTATTATTTTATGATTATTAGGGAGGGTTACAGGAGATTGAACCCACAGTTACAGGAGATTGAACCCACTGATCTACACCCCCAGCCCTTTTTATTTCTTATTTGAGACAGGGTCTTGCTACATTGCTGAAACTGTCCTCGAACTTAAGATCTTCCTGCCTCAGTCTCCAAAGTCACCTGTCTTAAGATTATATCTTCTTGATCTCTGCAGCCCTAACATTTAGTACAATGACTGCAAAATATTAGGCATACAATGTTGTTTATGCAAAAAAGAATGAAGCCAGGCATGGTGATGCACACCTGTAATCCCAGCAACTCAGGAAGCAGAGGCAAGAGGATCCCAAGTTCAAAGCCAGCCTCAAGAAGTGAAGCCCAAAGCAACTTAGAAAGACCCTCTGGGGGGAAAAGAGAGAGAGAGTGTGAGAGAGTATGTGCATGCGCGCACGCGAGTGCTGGAGGATGTGACTCAGTAATTTAGCACTCCCAGGTTCAATCCCTGGTACCAAAAAAAAAAAAAGAGAGAGAAAGAATGAAGAGCTGGGTATGTTGGCACAGGCCTGTAATCCAGACAACTCAAGAGGGTGAGGCAGAAGAATCATGGTTCAAGGCCTGCCTCAGCAACTTAGCATGACCCTATCTCAAAATAAAAAAATAAAAAGGGTTGGTTTTGTAGCTTTGTAGTGTGGTAAAGCACCCCTGGATTCAATCTTCAGTACCAAAAAAGAATGAAGAAACACAAATATATCATCAGGGAGCAGCATACCTCAGTGCCTTCTTGATCTTCTAGGGAAAATTCCATCAACACATTTGAAATCTCTTCTACCTGGTCTTCAAGTTTTGGAATTTTATCCAATGTTGGAACTGTAGTAATGGGACTGCCCAAATATTTCATTTCACTTTCTGCAAACTTCCCATTGTCCTGTCAAGGATAACAACAATATTAAAACCTATTTAGGACCTTTACCTTACACCATATAAAAAATTAACTGATCCATTTGTGGTGGTGTACACCTGTAATTCCAGTGACTTGGGATACTGAGACAGGAGGATCATAAGTATAAAGCCAGCCTGGACAACTTAGATAGAACCTGTCTCAAAACATAAAAAGTGCTGTAGATAAAGCTCAATGATAGAGCATCCCTTGGTCAATCCCAGTATAAAAAAGTAAGTAAGTAAAAGATTTTATGCATTGAAGGACATTATCTTTATTTAAAGGATGTACATTTTGTTAATTTTTTTTTTTTTTTGGGGGGGGTAAGACTTAAACTCAGAGCCTGGGAATACTAGGCAAACATTCTATCACTGAGCTATACCCCCAGTCCAAAGGATATTATTAAAAGACAACCCAAAAAATGGGAGAAAATATTTTCAAATCATATATCCAACGAGGAATTAACATCAGAATATATAAAGTACTCCTAGAACTCAACAAAAACAAATAGGATTTGAATAGACATTTCAAAGAAGACATATACATAGCCTGACAGCATACCAAAAGATACTCAACATATTTAGCAGAGAAATCAAAATGAAAATCACAAGGAGATACCACTTTATACCCATTAAAATGAGTATTATAAGGACAATAGGTGCTTATGCACTACAGGTAGGAATGTAAAGTGGTATAGTCACTATGAATAGTATGGCAGTTCTTCAAAAAACTAAATATATCCAGGTGCAGTGGTACATGCCTGTAAATCCAGTGGCTTGGGAGGCTAAGGCAGGAGGATCACAAGTTTGAGGCCAGCCTTAGCAACTTAGCAAGGACTAAGCAACTTAATGAGACCCTGTCTCAAAAAAAAAAAAAAAAAAAAAAAAGGGCTGGGGATGTAGCTCATTGATTAAGCACTCCTGGGTTTAATCCCCAGTATCAAAAAAAAAAAAAAAAGAATAAGGTACTGTCACCAGGCATGGTCCTTCAGTCATTCATGCCTGTAACCCAGTACTTGGGAGGCTGAGGTAGGAGTGATTGAGCCCAGGAGTTCAAACTCGGCCTGGGAAACACAGCAAGCCCTATCTCAAAGAAAGGAAAGAAAAGAAGCCAATCATGGTGGTGCATAACAACTGAGGTAGAAGGGTCCCAAGTTTGAGGTCAGCCTGGGCAATGTGGCAAGACCTTTAGCAACTTAGCGAGACCCAATCCCAAAATAAAAACATTAAAAGGATTGAGGCTGTAGCTTGATGGTAAAATGCCCCTAGTTCAATAACCCAATAATAATAAAAAAAAAAATTTAATAAAATGATTGAAGGAAATATAGCTCTTTCCTCTCTCTGTTCAAACTTTACTTGTCCACCCCTGTCTCACACAGCCAGATTAAAAAAAGTCAAGGGTCACAAATCTGCTATCCTATAATACCCCAACCTACCCTTAATGATGATATTCAATGACTCACCAGCACAGAAGGGGAAGACATGTAAGGACCTCCTGATCTTTTTTGAAACCTCAGGTTCCTGGGTGTCTGCCACTCCAAGGCCTTAAAAGTGTTTTTATCCTGCATAAGAAAAACTATGTTGGCGGGAGGAAGAGACATATTAATTGGGCCCTGCCAAAAACATTTTGTCTAATCAAACTATGAATAACCCTCATGAAACACATCAAATGTAATCATTAAATGTATACCCTGAAGATGCAAATAATGGTTTGAATTTGATGTCTGGCACCTAGATTTGCTTGTAGGATATTAATTTTATCATCACAAACAAAAGAATTGAGGAGTTGGGGAGAACCTGCTTGGGAAGAAGATGGTAAGATTTCAAAAAGTGTTTATAAGGACAGGCATGGTAGGCACACACCTGTAATCCCAGCAACTTGGGAGACTGACACAGAAGGACATTAAGTTCAAGGCTAGTCTGGGCAACTCTGCAAGATCCTGTCTCAAAAAAAAGTTTTAAAAAAAGTCTGAGTGTAAAACTCAGTATTATAGTGCTTGCCTAGCACATGTAAGGCCCTGAGTTCAGTCTCCAGCACATTGCAGGGAAAAACTGATTATAAACTAGGCCTGGTGGCATACACCTATAGTACCAGCTAATCGAGAGACTGAGGCCCAAGAATCATTAAATCAGTATTAAATCAATAAAAATCTGAATAGAACAGCCAAAAACATGAACATATCTTTGTCAGAGTAACAAAACAACAACTATCTTTTATGCACAGTGACCCTGGGAGAAGGGATGGAAGGTAGTTTTTTTTTAAAAAAAAAAAAAGGAGGGCTGGGGATGTGGCTCAAGCGGTAGCTCGCTCGCCTGGCATGTGTGCGGCCCGGGGTTCGATCCTCAGCACCACGTACAAACAAAGATGTTGTGTCCGCCGAAAAAAAGCTAAAAAATAAATATTAAAAAATTCTCTCTCTCTCTCTCTCTTTTAAAAAAAAAAAAGGAAGGAGATTAATTACACAATTATCTTAGTGATTAGGTATCTAGGATAGGAAAATTTCAACATGGATCTGAAATATGGTCAAAGGCTTAGACAGAAAAAAACATGACTTCTTCAGAATAGGGACTAAAGGGATATAGCTAGTGATACAACATGCTATTAGCATAGTTCAGTCCTTAGCATTATCAATCCTTAGCACTAAAAATAAAGTGGTTGGGTGCAGTACCCTCATTTGTAATCTCAGCTACTTGGGAGTCTGAGGTAGGAAGATCACAGTTTGAGGTTACCTGGACAATTTAGGGAGATCTGGTCTCAAAATAAAAGAATTTTAGAGTTCTTGCCTAGTATAGCAAACCCCTAGGTTCAATTCTCAATCCACAAATTAGAAAATAATAATGATGATGATGATGATGATGGAGCCAGGTGCAGTGGCACAAACCTGTAATCTCATAGACTCAGGAGACCAAGGCAGAATTGTAAGTTTGAGGCCAGTCTCAGCAACTTAGACTCTGTCTCAAAATAAAAAATAAATAAATAGACTGGGGATGTAACTCAGTGGTAAAGAACCCCTGGGTTCAATCCCAGTACTAAGTAAATAAATATCTATACAAATAAATAAAACTCCATGTAAAGAATCTTTGAGGGCTGGGGTTGTAGCTCAGTGTTAGAGCACTTGCCTGGCACATGTGAGGCACTGGGTTCAATCCTCAGCACCATATAGAAATAAATAAATAAAATAAAGGTATTCTGTCTATCTACAACTAAAAAATATTTTAAAAAAGAAAAGAATCTTTGAACGAGTTATGCATGTTATCACTATCAAAGTTTTTCTTTTTTAAGACAGGGTCTTACTGAGTTGCTGAGACTGGCCTCACACTTATAGTCCTCCTGTTTCAGTTATATGAGTAGCTGATATTGCAAACATTCACCCCCATACCCAGCTTAAGAAATAAATTCTTTATACAATGGTAACAACAATGTTTGTCCTTAATGTAATCAACTGAATATGAGTAATCAAGAACTCCTACTATGGAGGATTTGGATTTAGGATTCTTGTTTTAACAGGGGAAAAAAAAAAAAAAATATTACAAAGATTTTTCTTCACCTATGGTGATATAATTTGCTTGTCTAGCATACTGAGATATAAATAGCTATAGGTCTCCCAAAACCAGTAAGTCGCTTCTCTCAAAGGAATAAAATAATAATATAGAGCTGGGAAAGGTGGTGAATGCCTATCTCAGCTAATCTGGAGACTGAGACAGGAGAATCCCAAATTCAAGGACAGTCTCAATAATGTTGTAAGACCCTGCCCAAAATTAAAAATTAAAAAAAGGGCTGGTGATGTAGCTTAGTAGTAAAGCACACACCTAGGTTCAATCCCCAGTATCATAATGATAATAATAATGAATAAATATAGAATAATGTAACTATATTTCCATTAAATACTCACATTTTCTTTATTTGCAGTTAAACTATGCATTGCATCTTTCTTTTTATGGCCATGGTCCAAAGCATTGGGAGTGCTACAAAGCAGCTGTGCCTAAAAGACATTTTTTGCTGAGAACATCCAGCATCCTTGAGCCATGAGTTAATTTGAAACCCTCTGCATCCCCCCCAAGAAGCAAACCCAAACCCAAACCAAGAAGAGATACTCACTGGGCTGCCTTTCATAGCATACTGGTGGTGATTCCTGCATATTAAAGCAAACAACTAGGTAAGCCCCAAACACCTCAAATTCTCTAATTATTCAATGGGTTGAGGCATCCAACTTTTTCCTTCCTTTCTTCCAACTAGCCCTAGTCCTAGCAGATAAATCTCTTCCTATAACAATATATATTCTCTGTGGTAAATAGTAAGACCCAAGGGAAAAGGCTCTCATTTCATGGGCATAACTACATCTAAAGAGGTGTACCAAAGATGCACAAGTTTATCTTACCTTTATTTCCTCCTCTCTTTTTTCTTTTCCTGAGGTATGGGGATCAAACCCAGGGACTTGCACATGCTAGGCAAGTGCTCTGCCCCAGTGAAAAGTGCTATTATTACTTCCATGTTTTGTATAAAGAAACTGGGGTCCATTGAAATTAAGAAAGTTGTCCGTTATAGCTGGTAATATTGCAATCTACTAGAATCCAGACACTCTCATTCTAGACCCTGTAACTTGTACTTTTAATCTCTAAGACTTACACTTTTCACATGTAAATAGAAGCCAACTCATAAGCACAAGTACCATTTTCCTTTATTTTTGAAAGATAATTCTGACTCAGCTCAGGGTATAGCTCAGTGGTGGAGCACTTGTCTACCACTTGGCCCTGAGTTCAATTCCCAGCATAGTGGGAAAAAAAAAAAGATAATTCTGATTATGTGTGATGGTTAAAATGAATAGCCTTCATTTAACACAACTATTTAGATCTAGAAAACTTAAAAGTTGTTCAAGTCCAGCATTTAGGTCTTGAAGCCTACTTATACCCAAAGTGAAATTCATACTATGTGGAATCTGCATGAGATAAAATCCCTATGAACAGTGCTGTAAGATTTTAAGCATGGGGTTCATTTAGCAACAGAACTTACATCCTAGCTAACTGTACTTCCTGAGGCCCTGAAGAATCCAAGTGACCTGAAATCAAATATGAAGAATCAGTAAGAGGCATTATTCTTGCCCATGCATCCTGTTTTCCCCTCTGATTTTCTTTGTTACCAGTATGCCACATTAATTTCAAAGGCTAAACTCTAGAACACAAAGCTCTTAACTGGTACCCATCTTATGGAACAAAATACCAGAGTACAAAATACAATTTCATGGAAACTTAAAAATTTACATGTACTACTCAAAGAAAAAATACTAGGAAAGCTGGGAGAGCTGTGGCACACACCAGTAATCCCTGCAGCTCGGGAGGCTGAGGCAGAAGAATCACAAGTTCAAGTCCAGCCTCAGCAACTTAGCAAGACCTTGACCAAAAAAAACAAAAAAGGGGCTGTAGCTGTAACTCAGTGGCAGAGCACTTGCCTAGCATGCATGAGGCACTGGGTTCGATCCCCAGCACCACATAAAAATAAATGAAATAAAGGCATTCTGTCCATCTACAAATATAAAAACTTTAAAAAACAAACAAAACAAAACAGAAAACCTCGGAAATAGTGATGGAGTTTTTTTTTATTCATGAGTAGAAAAGAAAGGTTATTATGCAGGAAATCCAAAATTAGAGGAAATGCTAGAATGGTTTAGTAATGAAGCATTTTTGGGGGTACAGACCTATAGAAGTGTAAGAATCAACTGACAAAGTATTTATTTATGCTGATTCCTTTGCCTCTGATGAAATTAAACTAAGAAACAAAACTTTTCTGGACTTTCTTTTGTACCATTAATCTGTCAATAAAATATATTTCCTTTTATCTAACTTTTTCAAATGTAGAATGTTATTGTTTTTATTAGTGTTCCTATTAGTGTTATTCTTTTTCTTTTCTCATTGGCTTCATTAATCACCTCAAATTCTCTAATTAAGCTTGGCATGGTAACACACGCCTATAATCCCAGCTACACAGGAGGCTAAGGCAGAAGGATTGCAAATTTGAAGCCAGACCAGGCAACTTAGTGAGGCCCTGCCTTAAAATAAAGCAAAAAGGGCTGGGGATGTTGCTTGGTCTCTGCAGATGTACCCAGAGGCATTCAAAGTGCAGTCTTATTAAAAAAAAAAAAAAAAAAAAAAAATCCTTGCCAGGTGGGATTACTCCTGTAATCCCAGCAACTCAGGAGGCTGACTCAGGCAGATTACAACTTCAAAACCAGCCTCAGTAACTTAGCAAGGCCCTAAGCAACTTAGTGAGGCCCTGTCTCAAAATAAAAACTAAAAAGCACTAAGGGTATTGCTCAGTGGTTAAGCACCCCAGAGTTGAATTCCTGGTACTTCCTGGTACAAAAAAAAAAAAAAAAAAAAAAATCCTCTAATTACTCTCAAAATTCCAATTCTTCAGGTAGATTCTCTACCTACTTTCAGCATCTTCCATTTCTATCATACTTCCCTGTCTTCTCCCTTAAGTTATTCTTCCCTTTGAGGCCTTTACCTCCGTTTTCCCTACCAGTTTCATCAAGGTCTGCAGAAGTGGTAAGGTAAGTGGCAGACATCTCCCCACTGCTGAAATTCGTAAGATCAAGGCAACGTTTTGGAGTTCCTCTGTTGAGACATAATAGTACATCAAGATTCCCATTAGGTTGTAATATCTTGAAAGGCAAAGATCCTTCATTTGAAATACCTCTCAATGACCATCACAAAAATATAAAAAGTATCTAATTGCTTTCTAGAAATATCAGACTTCATTAAGAAAAATCTCTCAATTTTTCTCTACTCCATCATGTGCCTCATTTTCTCTTCACCAAGATATTGAGACAGGACTTAAAAACAAAAAAATAATGAGGCCCAAAGTTTATTAACTGAGTGAAATCTTGAATCCATATCCTCTACCCAGTTTATGATGAATACACAGATTTGATTTTTCCCTCCAGTCTCTAATACTTTTCAAATACTTCTCCTTATTTGGTAGTGAGGCATAAAAACATCATGACCAGTTTTTGGTTTTTTTGTTTTGTTTTAGTTTTTGGTGGTGCTAGGAATGGAACCCAGATGACCAGAATTTAAAGTACAAGAACAATAACATTAATATTAATGCTAATAAAGCAGCCAATTCATAACAGAATATTTTCAGACTTTACCCAGTCATTACATTATTTGATTTTCACAAGATCCTGTGAGAGGGGGCTGGGATACAGTTCAGCTGGTAGAATGTTTGCCTCGCATGCACAAAGCCCTGGGTTCAATTCACAACACCACAAAAAAAAAAAAAAAAAGATCCTAGTGAGACAGTTTTACACAGAAAAGCAGCCCGAGATTCAAAAGGGTCACACAGTCAACAGTGGAGCTGGGACCTAAATCCTGATCTTTGAGCTAGGATAATTAAACAAACAAGCCTGTTTGTAAAGCAAAGGAGATAAGGTATAAAAATAAAAGTGGGTTTACCCAGACAAAATGCTTAGATTTGCAGAATCGCCAAGGAGTTTGTCCATTGGAGATCTAAGGAGACCTGGACAGATGGTAAAGGAAGAGTCTCTCTCCAGGAGCAGGTGTAACATCTTCCTCTGATTGGACCTAAAACTGGGTCCTGAGCGAGACCTTCCCTCTTCTTTTGAGGATGAAAAGAGTTATGTAGACATGGTCTCTGAATCTTCACAAATGGGAGGAGAGTGGGGGACAAAACAAAACACCTTGCTAGGAGAACATCACAGACCATTCAGCTTTTCCAACACCCTCCACCCTATCCAGCCCAGTGGATTGGCAAAGGGGGATGGGAGGCTTTCCAAAGAGTGAATCACAACTCGGTTTTAAGTTTAAATCGCACTTGACGAGGCCTTTTTGTTGAAATTTTAATTTACCGAGGAGGCGCAATCTGAGGATTTTAAAGATGGGATGAAGAGAGGGCTTTGATTTGTTTGGGGCCACACAGCTTCACGCTTCTAACCGGAAGAAACTCGGGACTCCTAACTCGCGATAATGCCCATTCGGACCTCTGGCCTGAACAGACCCTACCGGAAGAAACAGGTCTCAGTGACCCTGTGGTAGAAACCGCTAGAGCTTACGTCGAGTCAGACTTACTTTCAGGAGAAAGGAAAGTGGGCAGTGACTGGATACAAGCGAAGATTCGAGAGAACGATAGGAAAATCTGAGGAAAACAGCCAGTAAACGGGACTACCTACGGTTCTGCTTCTCGCTCGACTCGATAGGATGAGGACAGGTTCTAGCAACTTCTCTCCGCAGCAGGGGGAGGTTTAGCTCGAGTAAATACCAACAGCCACAGGCTGGATCATTCAAATCTTCCGCCCACCCAGCAACCTATCCCGGCCCGTCTGTAAGTTGCGTCAGCCAATCTTCGCGCGCCTTCAAGACTCCACCCTTTCCATCACAGCCAATAGTTTGCTCATCCATCACCCGGAGGCGTAAGCTTTCTCTGGAAGGGGCGATATTTGTCCCGCCCCAGAGCCACAGCAAGAAAGCAATTGGCCCACCAGCGTTCACAAAGCTGCTAAGTAAGCTTTGCCTTGCTAGGAACTCAGCGCACCATTGGCTCTACCTCTGGCCAATCGCCACACCTTCCCCGTACTCACTATTCCCTAGACCCCGCCAACCCCGGGAGATTTAAATTGCGGCTCGCTAGCAATGACCTTTCGCTTAAGCTAATACTAGGAAAGATTAATTTGAGTGGAAGTGTTTATTTTTCCTTGCTTCTTTCTTGTATCGTTCCTCCTTGGTTTTACTAGCCTTCCGCTGAAGATGGAACATTTGCCGCCAGGGCGGCGGATGTTGGGGCGTGACAGGTGTGTTTATGTTGAGCGGCATTGGTTCTTTCCGAGAGAGCTTTCCTTGTTATCCGACTTTAGTGCACAGTATCTCAGAGATACTAGGTGGGTAGACAGAAAATCCTTTTTAGAGAAAGAAATTGAATCATCTCCTTTAATTCTTACCACAGCCCAAAGGACCTTAAATTTTGTCAGTTTATGAAAATTTAAATATTGACAAGGTAATATTTTGAAAAAATAGCTTACTTATTTATTTTGCGGTGGCAAGAATTGAACCTAGAGTACGCTTAGGAGAGCCCTGTATCAGTGAGCTCCACTCCCCAGCTCTGGAAATTCGTAATATTAGGGATTTACATTTAAACAATCCTGTTAGGGTTGGGGTAGGTATTGATGAGACAAAATTGGTCAGGAATGTTGGACGATGGTGTGGGTGGAGATGTCCATTATTTCAGTGCTTCTTAATATTTAATGTGTATACTAATCACCTGGGGATACTCTTAAGATGCAGATTCTGATTCAGTGGATCTGGATTTTAGCCCAAGGTTCTGCACTTCTAACAAGTTCCCAGCTGATGTTGATGTCTCTGGTCCCAGGACCATATTCTGAGTAGCAAGGCATTGTGTTATACTTTTTACTTCAGTGTATATTTGAAATTTTTCATAATTAAAAATTGTTTAAAACTCTTTAAAATGTAGACCCCTAAAATGAAGATTCAATAGGTATAGAGTGGGGCCCAGGAATTATCAAAGCCACTAGGTGCCACCCATGCAGATGGTTAGCAGACCACACTTTGAAGGAAAAAAAAAAAAAGTCAGAAATACAAACTTTAGCCAGGAGTGACGGCATATACCTGTAATCCCAGCAATTCAGCATGCTAAGGCAGGAAAATGGCAAGTTCTTAGACCAGCCTCAACAACTTTAAAAAAACCTGTCTCAAAAAACAAATGTAGGGGCTGGGGCTGAGCAGTAGTGAGCTTGCCTGGCATGTGTGAGGCACTGGGTTCAATTCTCAGCACCATATATAAATAAATAAAATAAAGGTCCATCAACAACTAAAAAAAATCTTTAAATATTAAAAAGGGCTGGGATATAGCTTAGTGGCAAAGTGTCTGCCTTGCATTTGCAGAGCCCTGGGTTTGATCCCCAGTTGGAAGGAAGGAAGGAAGGAAGGAAGGAAGGAAGGCAGGCTCGCTCAGAGGTAAAGACCCCTGGGTTAAATCCCCACTATCAAAGAAAAAAATATATAAACTTCACCTGATGTCAGGATCTTAGTGTTAATAGTGGCTGAGAGGTGCAAACTAGTCAGCTGGTTTTTATCCGGATCCCTTTTCATCTGTAGAAATTGCTTCACCAGAAAAGAGGTGTGTGAAGAGTCTCTGTTCTCTAGAATAGAGATGGTAAGTGTGGCAGTCAGCACAGAGCCTTGTCGTGTCAGGTAAGCTTGAAAATCAGGCTGGGGATTAAGGGAGTGTGGAATACATTGATTTCTGTCTTAATGACTATAATCACACTTTGTGGGTCACTGTATGCTTTCCTGCAGGTGGGAAGTAGAGACAGATGAAGTTGTCTTGCAGAGGAGGCAAAAGCAGATAGATTATGGCAAGTGCACACCTGGTTACCGGTGCTTTCTACAGCAGGTCCCCAAGTGAGTATAGTTGTGGGTGGTCACAAGAGTATCAACCAATGGTTCAATGTCAGGTGATAGGGAGATGAGAGAATCTGAGTGCTCTGACAATGTTGCAGTATTATTAATTCTCCTGAAATACATTCCCAAAATAGGTTTCTGAGATTTTTCTCAAATAGAAAATGTTGTACTTCGCCTATAAGGGCTTCTACAGCTTTATCCATGTTTCCTAATGAGGTTGTTTTCCTCCCTAAAATTTTGACCAACACCCCATGCCTCCAGCCAAATTGGCTAATTGAAACATACTTGACAAATTATGTTTATATGTATGCATACCAAAAAATGTGAAAACAGAGGAGGTATTTTATTTTAAAGATATGTCATATATTGTCTTGTATGTTAACTTCAGAGGAAGTTATATGTAATTTACCCTTTTAGGAGAATATTAGGGAGGTGTGAAGTTTGGTGCTTATTCTGATTTGAAGATTTACTTTTTTGTTGGATTGAGGGTATTGCTTCTACATCTATCCTGGTAATTCTCTATCTAGACTCCTGATTTGTTGTAATAAGCAGGGAGCTGTGTCCTTTCACTTTGACTTCCATCTGATCCATATTTATTGTTGCCAGGGCACAGAGACAGCCAGGGCTTCACCCTCAAACACCAGACAAGAACAGGAGATACAGCCGTCGTTCTTGGGATGCCCAGATCAGGCAATGGAGAAGAGCCCTACATACCTGGGACCCCCCCAGCCAGCCTCTACAGGGCAGGGGGGCTCAGGGGTATGTTCACTATTACTGGTTCTTTCTATGAGTGGAGGGCCACACCTTACTTCTCCTGACTTTGAAAAGGGTTAGATTCTACTGGGTAGAAAGGGAGAGTGGTCTGCAATGATGTATGATTTCTTACTCTGCTTCCTCCATAGGCAGGGAATGCAGAGCCCCTTAGAGCTGATGGATTCTACCCCTTTGGATAACCTTCTGGGTGACTGGGTCCAACCCTTGGAGAATCCAGATGGATGCAAGAAAGGGGCCCAGGTAGTATCCTATACCAAAAGTGAAAGTAGTGGGGTCAAAGATGGGGGTTTGACCCATGATGTCAGATGGGATTTGAAGAAGTGGCCCAAGGACAAATAAAGGAAGTGAAGCAGGAAAAAAATAGCAGAACATGAGTGAAAAAACTTGAGAACTAAAAGTGGCATAAATAGATTTAATTATGGACAGGAGCATTAGGCTGCACTGGAAGGCTATTTTATTCTTGATGCAAGAGGATGTAACCTTCCTTTGAAATGAGGCCTGAAAACTAACTTGCAGTGATGTGTTTTCTGTTTTTTTAATGTTTTACAAATAGTAATGCCAACTTCTTTTACTCAACTATTCAAGTTTAGTAAACATGGTTCATAATAAAAAGGGGAACAATCTAGTAATGAAGAACAAGGACTACAGTCTCAGGCTTTTGGTTACAACCTTTACCTACCACATGGGCAGTAAACCCCTCAGGAGGTTTCATTTACCAAAATGAGATTTTTAAATTTTATTTACTTATTTTTATGTGGTGCTGAGGATTGAACCCAGTGTCTCACTCATGTTAGGCAAGTGCTCTACCACTAAGCTACAACCCCAGCCCCCAAATAAGATTTTTTTTTCATTTAGTGATTGTAAGAAAAAATGTGAATGCATATTTATTTAAAGTGTGTAGCACAGTGCCTAGCACATAATATGGGTAATTATAGGTAAATATATATTCCTACATTATGGCTCCTGCCTCTGCTCCTTCTCTTTGCCAAGGAGAAATGATATGCAGTGGAAAAAAAAATCTATCAAATCTATCTACTCCCATTTTCTTAACTAATACCTCACTTTTCCTCTACTTTTGCAGTTTGCAGACTTGGTTCCTCTGTCCTCTCCTCCCAAGCTCAATGTTGAAGATCCCCAAGAATGATTCTGCTTTCTAGCCAATCACAGGATCACAGCTATTTACTTGTCCCAGACTTGAGTATGGCACAAAATGTTTAGAAAAAAACAGATGTCCTTCAGGGGGCTTGCTGTTAAATGTTAATAGTGAAGTTATTTACATTACTACTTTTTAACCAATTAAAAAATCTAAAACTCTGTCCTACAAAGAGATCACAACATGAAGGCATTAAAAACTCTTCCCCCCCCCCCCTTTTTTTTTTTTTTGGCTTATCTCACTGATGCTGACATTCAAATTTTCAAATTTACAGAAAAGCTAAAAACCCAGTCTCTCACCTACTTTCGTCTACATTCAGTCCCTTTAAAAAGGACACAAACTTTGGCTGAGGTGGGAGGTGGTGGTAGTGGCTGAAACTTAACAAAAAGGTGGTTTCCTTTTCCTGAAGAGGAAATATAGCGCCCGTCAACACCATCTGCTCGTTTCCTCGTTTCCTCCCTTTCTGTCTTAAAGAGAGTCGTCCAGCTGTTACCACCGTACTTCTCCCCCCGCCCCCGCCGCCCCGCATGCAACTGAACCGCCTATGATGTCATAATCACAACCCCATTACCTCATCCTGCTGGGGGGGGGTGCGTAAAGGGAGGAGAGGAGGTGAACGGCCACGGGCCCTCCTCAGCTTTACAAAGTGTTTTGGGTGAGGGTAAATTACAGAATCAAGTGAGCACATCTCCGCAACCATTGTTAACTCCTGGTTTATAAGGTTTGAGCCGATCCGGCTGCTGGAAGAGGGGCTCCAGGGACTCAGAGCAGGCCCTGATCGGCGCTTGGACTACATTTCCCAGCAGTCTTCACGCCACGGACCGGTCCTTTGCTGGGGGAAAGGGGATTCTTCCAGAAAGGTGACTGTATCCGTCTAGGTGAGAAAACAGGTGAGAAGAAAGTCGCTAATTCTGTTAAGCGGCCGGAAGGTTGTGAGAGACTGCAGCTGACTAGATGTAGACCTGGAGGGCGAGAGCGACGGCTTTGTTTACTTTCGTCCGACATGGCCTCCCCCACGAGTTTCAAGATATGCTTCCAACTGGACCCTTCCACCTTCTGTGATATTTTGGAGGGGGGTTGACTTATTAGTGAGGAAACCGCCCCATCATTAAATCAAAGCCTCAGGCTCGTTCCCGACAGTGCTACACTAGGAAGATTTTAAGAGAGAAACGACACAGGGCTCTGGACTCCGCAGGAGGTTCAGGGGGATTCTGCGAGAGCGAGTGTTCCCCCACTCGCCTCAGAGGCCCGTTGGTTCACGCCGGCGCCTTTTAAGGGCACCGTGGGGCGAACCGAGCGCTCAGAGCTGCTCTGGCCGCGGCCCTGGGAGCTGGTGGAGCCGCGGTAGGTGGCGGAGGGCAGGTGGCGCTGGGGCCTCGGGGCGGGCACCTCGGCCGTCCCTCCTCCTTCCCTTGCTCCCCTCCCCCAGACCAGCCGTCCGCGCGGCCCGGCCTCACAGGCCGCCTCCGCGGGGTGAGCACGGGACCTGGTGGGGGAGGGGGTGTCGGAGTCTTAAGTCCCAGACCCTCCCCATCCCTAGTGTCCTGAGTTCGCTTCCCGCGGCCAGATGTTGGAACCCGAGTGGGAAGAGGCCAGCGACAGCCCCTACCTCTGAAAGAGCTTTCCCCCCCCGTGGGGGGGGGTTAGCGTACGCCCCATGCCCCACCCCGCGGGGACAGTCAGGGCAACAGAGGGAGAGGTTGAAGATTGGAGGGGGCCTAGCCTTTTGCTTCTTCATCGGGGTGGGGGGAGGGGTGCTCCCCACTTGTCACCCCTATCCCCACAAGAACCATATGGAAAAAGAGCAGTCAGATCCCCACTTACCTGTTCTTGTACCTCCCTTCCTCCCTCGTGTTTTCCTTCATTCTCCACCAGAGGCGAGGGGCTTGGACCTGGTGGGGGAAGATCCCCAGGGGATTTGTGACTCTCCTGTCCCTTGGCCTTACTTGATCCTAGGTTGTTCAGTTTTCCGCACAACCCAAGCATCCCTGAAGCACAAGTGTCAGGGGTTACTATTGACCAATAGCAGTGGAGTGGGGGTCTAATCTTTATTTTAGGGGGCTTGTGTTGGAAGAGCCTAGACTGTTAGGCCTGGTGGGGTTGCTGGAAGGGCCTAGCGGCCTGCTGGTCTGTAAAGGGCTGAGCCCCTTGCCAGTTAGGCTGAGAAGTTTTAAGTTTAGTGAACGTTCAGGGCTGTCTCTACCTCTTAGATACACAAAATGGAAGGGGTAGGAAGGCGACAAGAGAGGGCTTCTTAACACTTTTTTCAGTGCCTGCTTGAGAAAGAGGAGGCCCCTCGCGGAGCTGGTTTGCCTTCTTTTGTGTCCTGGTTTGATTCCTTATGGCTTCCGTTCCCCCTTTCAGCCTGGCCTGTTTTAGGAAACTCAGGTTGAGAGTATCAGTTGTGTGGTAGTAGTTGCATTGTTCCAGTTACCGCTGTGTGTGGCCACATCCCAATAATTAAAATGCAGAAAAACACAAAATCACTCACTTCACTTGATCCTAGAGAGGGTGGGAGTTTGCTGCTTGTTCAAAGCCCTCATGAAAAGCTTGAAAGAGTTTGCTTTACTCCGTGCTCCTCTTGACTGGTCAGCCTGAGGCCTGGGGTCTCTAGGGTAAAAGCCTGCAGTTAAGTTCCTCTCTGGTTGATCTTTGAGAGCAGAGTTAAGAAACCAGGAGCAGAAGTGATATGAGCTTTAGTTTCTCTCACAAGAACATGGGAGAAACAACTGAAAGGAGCTTGAAGGAAGCAGGAACTTTGTTCAGGGTGGTAGTAATAATTATGCATGAAAATTATAGTTAACTATAATGATGATTGATTTCTGCGTCTTTCTTCCAAAGAACTCAAAATACATCCAAGTGTATTTCTTTGCTTTTCCTTGTGGCCTCCTTCTGAAGTGAGAATTGGGTAGGGATAATTCCCTCCTTTGTAGAGTGTGATCTGCCCCCAAGGTCACAGAAGGAAGTACTGCCTTAGGCTTCCTTCCTTGGTGAGCAGGTAAGGGAGGATGGCATCCAACCAGAGAGAGACCCTATTGCCTTCTTCATCTTAATGATACCATCACTTCTGGCACGCCAAGGCTTTGAAGAACAACAAACAGAAAGAATGAGAAACAGCAGTCTGTGTGGGCTCCTGATTTTTATAGGTCAGATGGTATGTTTTTGTATATTTTGATATATGATGTTATATCATTCCTATGAGAGATTAAGATTATTGTATCCATTTTACTTATGAGTAAACTGAAGAATGTGAAGTGATTGCCAAAACTGCCTCAGCTAATTTGATTAAGACAGATTTCTTGATTTTTACATGAGCTAATGCTACATACATTTTCAGGTGAGCTATCTCTGTGCTGGTCATTTCTGGTTCTCCCTGCCTCAAGACACTAGGTTAAGCTGGGCATGGTAGTACATTCCTGTAATCTCAGTGGTTTGAGAGGCTGAGACGGGAGGTTCGCAAATTCATGGCCAGCCTCAACAACTTAGAGAGATCGTATCTCAAAATAAAAAAGGCTGGGATATGGTTTAGTAGTAAAGTGCCCCTGGGTTAAATCTCTAGTAACAAACAGAAGAACCTGGGTTATCCTCCCCTTTTCCTTTGAGCAAGGCTCCTTAAGCAATTGTGTGGGCTTGAAGCCTGTTCTCTAGTAAGAGTGAGTTAGCTTCCCCATCAGAATTCAAACATGAGAAAGAATCTTGATTGATTATATTCATGGTCTTTTGCAGATATTCTAACAACTTAGTTGAATGAAGTCATGAAGTTTTTTTTTAATCTGTGTAGTTGAAATATAATTGGAATTATCCTGACCATTTATAGGAGAATACACAAAGATATCTATAAAATAATAATATATCAGTTGTTCAGGCTATGAGAGGACATAAAATCTTATTTACTCTGGTCTAAGTCATGCTTATAGCCATTGCCCCTCCTTGTATTCTATTTTGTAGTTTAGGAGAAGGTACCTCTCTTAGTTTCTGAGTGGAAGATAAATACTGGGCTAATCAGGATGGAAATAACCATTTGGGCTCTTTTCTAAGTGGTTCTGATATTCCAGATAGAAATGGCAGAGCATGAACCAGGTTAGGAATGGTAAATAGGTTTCAACCTATTGCTTGAGAACTCCAGTTTATTTTACTAGATATCTGGAGTTCCACGTTCAGTATGTTTCTGAGGCTATGTTTAGGCTTATCAGGAGCAAGCTGTGATCAATTAATATTATCTGCCAGAGGCTTGGCATAGTGGTGCTGTGGTATGTGTGCCATGCATTTTCCATCACTGGACCAGGTATATCTCTAATATCACTTGGGGCTGGTCCCTCTGTAATTGGCAGACTCAGCAGGCATGACTGGAGAGGGAAGTCCCAATGGTGCTAGAATGGTGCTGCAGTGGCAGAAGACGGCTCACGAGTGAGGTCTGGAAGAACGACAGGGAAGACATCCATCATTTGCTCCAAAGTGTGCAAGTAAAATCCTGGGGAGAATCATGATAACCTTGATCACTGAGCAGCTACAGAAACAGACTCTGGATGAGCTGAAATGTACACGCTTCAGCATCAGTCTGGTAAAAGACCAGTCTTCCTGCTTCTCCATGGCCCCTCCCCCTTTTTTCTGAGGCTGTTTGTTGCTACTACTTTACCCTTGTCCTGTAGTGTATAATTATTGTACTTGTACTGAAAGAGGCCACTAATGGCTTAGAACCCAGCCCAAAAGGAAGGGGGCAGGGATTTTTCCATTGATAGAGAAGGGATATCAAAATTGGGTGGAAAAGGGTTTGAGAAATTAGAAGATGTGGATTGTTCTACTAAGTCTCTAACACCCCTATAGCAAATGAATTGCAGGAAAGAATTTAAGAGGGCTTTCTAGAAATTTGTCAGTGTGCCCTGAACCTAAATCATGATAGCTATTCTTTCTTTCTTAGCCTTTGCCTGATCATGCAGACATCTCCAACTGTGGGAACCCTTTCCAGCTTGTGTCTGGTAAGGCATCATGTGTGTGTTTTGTGTATGTGTTCATGCCTCTATCCATGTATTTCTTTCACTGGTTTCCAGTGACTAGGACTAACTAACTATTTTAGTTAGCAAGAACAGTCTTAGAAGAGGATAAGTTTATTTAGTACTCATAGTTTCAGAGGTCTCAATACATAGATGGCCACTCCATTGTTCTGGTGAGGCAGAACATCAGGGTAGAAGGGTATGACAGTGGAAAGCAATTCAGAACATGACAGTCAGGAAGCAGAGATACCACTCACCAAGTCACCTGGGACAAAATACAAACCCCAAAGGTACGCCTCCAGCGACCTATCTCCTTCAGCCATACCCTACCTATGTCCTGTTATTACCTAGTTCATCCATTCAAGTGGGTTATCACACTGATTAGGTTAAGGCTGATAACCCAATCATTTCACCTCTTAAAATTTCTTGCATTATCTCACACATGAGCTTTTGAGGGACACATCATATCTAAACCATAATAGTAGCCTACCTCTAGAACTTTTTTCTTGCCAGGGTCACTCTGAGATTGGCATATGTCTCCATTTTACTGCCTTAGAATAAAAGTTTTCTGTTTGTGCCTTTGGGGACTTAGTTAGCTTATATAGCTTATAGCTTATGGAGACTTTTTAAATCTTTTTTTTTTTTTTTTTTTTAATCCCGGATGCTTTACCACTGAGCCATATCCCCAGTCTTATAGTTTTTGAATTAGGGTCTCATTAAGTTGCTGAGGCTGGCTTTGAGTTTGTGATCCTTATGCTTTAGTCTCCTGAGCTGCCGAGATTAAGGTGTGTGCTCCTGGCCCTTTTTATTTATTTTGAGATAGGGTCTTGTTAAGTTGCTGAGACTGGCTTGGAACTTTCAATCTTTCTGCCTCAGACTCCTGAGTCCCTGAGATTTCAGGCAGACACCATCGTACCTAGCTAATCTAATTTTTAAATAGGTAGTACATTTATATAGTTCAAAAAATTTTGAATACCAACCAAAAGTTTATACTGATAAAAGTATATTCTTTACCAGGCAAGGTGGGGCATACCTATAATATCAGCTACTTGGGAGACTGGGGCAGGAAGATTGCAAGTTTGAGGCTAGCCTCAGCAAATTAGTGAGGGCTTAAGCAACTTAGTGAGATCCTGTCTAAAATTAAAAAAATAAAAATAAAAAAGGCTGAGGTTGTAGCTCAGTGGTAGAGCACTCCTGGGTTCAGCCCCCAGCATCACACACATAAAAAAGTCATCTTCTCCTATCTCTTGTTCATCCAGCTCCTACCACCTCCCTAAAAATAACTCTTAGACCTGGGGTTATTGCCTTTACATGCATGAAGTCCTGGGTTCAATCTCTAGTACTGAAGGGGAAAAGAAAAAAAAGCCACTCCTATTATTAATTTCTTATATACTTAACTGGAATTTCTTTATACAGTTAAAAGCAAATACAAATGCATATATTTATTCCCACTTTTAAACATATGTTATGCTACAATCTTTTTTTGGTACTGGAGATTGAAGCCAGAGGGGCTTTACCACTGAATCATATCCCCAACTCTTTTTACTTTGAAACCAGGTATTCCTGAGTTGCTGAGGCAGGCTTGGAACTCCTGCTTCACCAGTTGCTAGAATTACAAGTGTGTGCCACCACCACTCCTTGGCCCCCCCTTTTTTTTAATACAGCCAAGATGGGTTTTCTGAAGCAAGAGGATTCTAAGTATAAGGCCTCAGTAACTTAGAGAGACTGTCAGCAACTTAGTGAGACCTACTCTCAAAATAAAAAAGAAGCCACATGCAGTGGTATATATGTGTAATCCCTGTGATTCAGGAGACTGAGAAAGGATTGCAAGTTTGAGACCAGCCTGGCCAAATTAGGGAGACCCTGTCTCAATAAAATAAAAAGGGCTGGGTAAAATACCCCTGGGTTCAATTCCCAGTACTGCAAAAAATAAAAATAAATAAAAAGTTAAAAAGAACTGGGGATATAGCTTAGTGATAAAGCAACCCTAAGTTCATTTCCCAGTGCCCCCTTCCAAAATACAACTAGGAAATCTTTCCCTATCAGTATGCTGAGCATTTCCTTGTTTTATGTAGCAGCATCTTATTATACTGAAAAAAATATACCATAGTTTATTTAACCAATCTCCTATTGATGTATAGTTAGGTTATTATTTATTTATTTTTTGGTATGTAAATTTGTGTTTTTCTTTTAGTACTTGAAATTGAACCTAGGGATGCTTTACCACTGAGCTATAACCCCAGCCCTTTTTGCTTTTTATTTTGATACAAGGTCTCACTAAGTTCCTTACAGGCTTGCTAAGTTGCTGAGGCTGTGATCAATGATAAATAAACTTGTGATCCTCTTGCTTCAGCCTCCTGAATTTTGGGATTACAGGTTTGATTACTGTTACTGGCAGTTTAGGTTATCTAATCTTCTGTTCACTATATAAAACCTGTACACAGGTCATTTTTAATTGTTTATTTTGTGGTACAGGGATTGAACCCAGGGTAGTCTACCATTGAACTACATTCTTGGCCCTTTTTATTTTTTTTATATCAAGACAGGCTTCTCACTAAATTACTGAGGGCAGGCATTGAACTTGCAACCATCCTGCCTCAACCTCCCAAATATCTGGGATTATAGGCATGCGCCACCATGCCTGGCTCATAAGTCATTTTTCACATGTGAAAATATATCTGAGGTGGAAATTCCTAGGTTATGAACTAGGGCCTATTCATAGGCATAACTAATAGACAGCCAGAAATCTCTAATCCATGCTGCTGGGTTATTCAGCATCTCATTTTCTTTTCTGGGATAGTTGGCAAGGAAAGTGGATTGGGAAAAGCATCTTCATTCAGTCTTTTCCTACTGTTAAACACTTGATGAAAGCCAGGTATTATGCCATAAGTACCCTTAAAGACCCATGGTCCCTGATTTCATGGAAGTTACAAACAGAGGAATTATTGGCTGAATTGAGTTAGCTAAAAGTTTTGTCATCAAGTTTGACTTCATATACTAGCCAACTAGACAGAGGAGCTTGAAGTAGGCCCTTTCTCAGTGTGCTATTTCCCAAAAGTTGATTTTTGATTGGATCATTCTTTTTAGCCCATTTCCCCTTCCTTCTCTTGGCCCCATCTGTTTGGCTTTAAGAGAAGGCCAAAGAGAAGGGAATCAGAGTATTTGGGTAGCCAGACAGAACGGAACATCAACAGTTCAAAGTCTTAGGGTTTCCCAAGCACAGATTCTATCATCAAAGGTCTTCCCCATTCTGTTTTTCCTCTCTAGGAATAAACAATAAACAGGCCTTAGGAATAAAAGTTATCTCCCACCTGCTTAATTACCTCTTACTTCTTGGCAGCCCTGAAATTCTGTTCGTCCTGTTGACATATGAGAAGGGAGAAGGCCAAGGAAAGAAAGTATAGTCTGCTTTTCAGAACCTGGGCAGGGAGCAAGGAGGAGTGGTTAGAAATAGGGTTAGATGGAGTGGAGTGAGGGTAAGCCTGGCACACACAGAGACGTGTTTGTTTCTCATGTAATGTTTTATCTTTGAAAGTGAGTTGAAGGCAGCATATGAAATACAGGTTTTTGTTTTGTTTGTAGTGCTTGGAATCGAATCTAGGGCCTTGCACATGCTAGGCAGGCACTCTACCTCTGAGCCCTCAAATAGTTTTTTTGTTTTTTATAGTACCAGGGATTGAACCCAGGGGTGTTAACCACTGAGAAGCATCCCCAGCCCTTTTTTGTATTTTATTTAGAGTCATGGTCTTACTGAGTTGCTAAGTGCCTTGCTAATCTGCTGAGATTGGCTTTGAATTCCCAATCCTTTTGCCTCAGCCTCCTGAATTGCTGGGATTACAGGCGTGTGCCACTGCACCCAGCCTGAAATGTTTTTGATTCTAGGTGATTTCTCAAAGGAGAGGCAGTATAGTAGAGTGGGTTTAAAATACAAAAACAACAACAACAACAACAAAAACTTGATATCACACAGACCTGGATTTGAATCCTGTTTGATTGATTTAGTAGGTACTGGAGATTGAACCCAGAGGTGCTTTACCACAAAGCCACATCCACAGCCCTTTTTATTTTTTATTTTGAGACAGTCTCTCAGTAATTTGCTTAGGGCCTTGCCAAGTTGCTGAGACTGGCTTTGAATTTGCAATCCTCCTGTCTCAGCCTTCTGAGTTGCTGGGATTACAGGTGTGTACTTCCATGCCCAGCTGCTTTAGTCATTTGACTGCTAAGCTATTTGGGGCAAGTTATTGAACTTGTCTCATGTGAAATGAGGATAATCATAATACCTCTCTTATAGAGGTTTTTGGGAAACCACATGAAGTTCTCAGTACATTGTGTGTCAGATAAGCTCTCAGAAAGTGTTAGCTCTCATTAATATTTTATTATGAATGCCTTCCAGAAGGTGCTTCCTGGAGGGGCCTGCCCCACTGTTCCTGTGCTGAGTTCCAAGACAGCCTCAACTTCAACTATCACCCCTCAGGCTTAAGCCTGCACCTCAGACCACCCAGTAGGGGAAGCTCCCCACAGGAGCAACCCCTCTCCCAAGTCCTAAGCCCTGAGCCCCCAGACCCAGAGAAGCTTCCTGTGCCCCCTGCCCCTCCATCCAAGAGGCACTGCCGTTCACTCTCAGTGCCCGTGGACCTGTCTCGCTGGCAGCCAGTGTGGCGGCCCGCCCCCTCCAAGCTGTGGACTCCAATCAAGCATCGGGGCACTGGTGGAGGGGGTGGGCCGCAGGTGCCTCACCAGAGCCCCCCCAAGCGGGTCTCCAGCCTCAGGTTCCTCCAAGCTCCCAGTGCCTCTTCTCAATGTGCCCCAGCCCACAGACCCTACAGTCCCCCTTTTTTCAGTCTGGCCCTGACCCAAGATTCCTCTCGACCCTGTGCCACCTCCCCTCAAAGTGGCTCCTGGGAGAGTGATGCTGAGTCCCTGTCACCCTGCCCACCCCAGCGCCGCTTCTCCCTGTCACCCAGCCTGGGCCCACAGGCAAGTCGCTTCTTGCCGTCTGCCCGGAGTTCCCCTGCATCTTCCCCGGAGTTACCCTGGCGACCTCGAGGTCTCCGTAACCTTCCCCGAAGCCGCTCACAGCCTTGTGATCTGGATGCCCGCAAGACTGGGGTCAAGCGGCGCCACGAGGAGGATCCCCGGCGTCTGCGGCCTTCCTTGGACTTTGACAAGATGAATCAGGTGGGACCAATGTGATGGGGAGAGCTTGGATAGGAATGTGTGGGGGGGGTCGGGGCATCATTTTTATTCCTTCTTTTGAGCTGTCTCCTTGTTAGAGCTTCCCTGAAAGCTCTTTTCTGTCTGAGCTTTATCTTATTTTTTTAATGGTACTGGAGATTTAGCTAGGGCCTAATACATTCAAGGCAATTGCTCTACCACTGATCTCCATCCCAAGCCCTTATTTTATTTTGAGACAGGGTCTTACTAAGTTGCTGAGGTTGTCCTGATCCTCCTACCCCTGCCTCCCTAGAGGCTGTGATTAAGTCTGTGATTATAGGCATGTGACATCATACCTGGCCTGTCTGAGCTTTTGGTAAGATGATCCACCAACCTGGTTTGCATTGGACTGTTCAATTTTAGCACTGAATGTCTTTTTTTTTTTTTTTTTTTTTAGTTGTTAATATAACTTTATATGTGGTGCTGAGAATCAAACCCAGTGCCTCACACATGCTAGGCAAGTGCTTCTACCACTGAGCTACAACCCAGCTCCCTGAAAGTCTTGTCTTGTGAGATTCCTCAGGCCTAGGGGTCACAGAGAAACTGGAGTGCAACCCTTGTTACACCTTCCAAAGGGATCCCAGATTGTCCTGCCAGAGGCATTTTGCTTCCTCTGTAGGAGTACATAAACCACAAGCCAGGTATGGTGGTGTATACCTGTGATCCCAGCAACTCAGGAGGCTGAGGTAGGAGGATCACAAGTTCAAGGACAGCCTCAGCAACTTAGTGCGCCCTCAGGAATTTAGTGAGACCATGTCTCAAAATAAAAAATAAAAAGAGCTGAGGATGTATCTCAGTAGTAAAGCACTCCTGGGTTCAATCCTCAGTACCCCCAATCCCCCCAAAAAGAGTGCATAAATCACAAAAGTCCCATCACCAGTGAGTGCCCTATTCCTCCTAGCCCTCTGGGCTGGTTTTGACACTTGCCTTTCACTGCTTCACATGGGCCCGTGAGAGGCTTAAACAGATGTTTATCTGTTCAATCAGTGTTTTCTGGCATCCTAATGTGAATGCAGTTGTTGTATATACTTGCCTGCTTTTTTCATGTTCTTTCTAGATCATTGGGTCACAAGTCTCTTTGAGAATTTGTTCATTTATTCGTAACTGTCATCCAACCACACAGCAAGCACTTATTGAAAACCTACTATATACTTACTTGATTCTGACTAGAGACTAGCAGAACAGTCAACTGATGTTCCTGTCTGCATGGACCTTATAAATGAGCTTCTATCCTTGAATCTGTTGGAAACCAGATTCTCTTTCCTCAGAGAAATTTGTGTTTGTATAGTAAATTTTCCAAATTTTTTATCAGGATGCTTTTCAACCTCACCCTAAAACCTAAAATTCCTGCCTTCAAGTGTAACTGAGAAGGGACACTTTGAAATATATCTTAAGATGCTGTAGGAAATATTATTTTTTTCTTCATCTTCTAACTTTGTCTTTTTTTTTTTTTTTTTTTTTTGACAGAAACCCTACTCAGGAGGTCTCTGTCTCCAAGAAACAGCCCGGGAAGGCAGCAGCATCTCTCCACCGTGGTTCATGGCCTGTAGCCCCCCACCTCTCTCGGCTTCCTGCAGCCCCATTGAGGGTTCCTCCCAGGTGCTGAGTGAAAGTGAAGAGGAGGAGGAGGGGGCTGTGCGGTGGGGGCGGCAGGCACTGAGCAAGCGGACACTGTGCCAGCAGGACTTTGGGGACCTGGACTTGAATCTGATTGAGGAGAACTAAAACTGAGAGGCTACTTCCTGGGGCCACACAGACTGACTCTCTTATGGCTACTAACAAGTGTCGAGGCCCCAAGGCTGAGGGCCCAGCCTGGGAATGGGGGTGAGTGGAGGGCTCCGACTCAGGGCAGCCGGAAATCTTCTCGCTCCAGCAAGCTCGACCATGCCAAGAGACTGGCCGGGACAAGATAAACGGAGCTGGTGGCGGGAGGGACAGCCCCAGAGCAGACCCTTTCCATGGCGGCCCTGAGTGTGAGTATCCCTGCCGCTGAGAGAGCAATGGGCAGGGAAGGAAGGGGTCTGCTGACCCCAGCTCGGGGAATTTCACTAGCCCCTTTGCTTCAAAGGGCACTTGTGTCTTAGAATTTGGCCAGGGTGGGGGGTTCAGTCAGCCTCCTCAGAGAAATTGTGTGAGAGTGTGTGCGTGCATGGGAGTGTACTTGAGGAGAAAAGTGTGTTTGCATAGCCTTAGGGAAGGAAGGCAGTTGCTCCTTAACAACAGAGCATCATGATACCCCAAGGATCTTGAGTTTTTAAGGGGACAGTGGGCTTATTCAAGGAGCCAAGAGGATGGCTCCAAGTTTTCCTTTTTTTCTAAAGAGCTCTGGAACCAGGCTTATAATCCATAGCAACACTGGCTCTGCAAGGGATACTGTTTTGGGGTACACCAGGGCCTTTTAAGTGATGTGACCTCAGCTAATGGTCTTTTCCTCAGTCCCACCCCCTCCCACTAGATCTAGTATTGAGGGCTGCAGGGGTTGCCATGTTTATTCTGAGCTGGCCTGTTTTTTCTCATCAGATTGTCTAGGCCATATACAACTTGCCTCTCTGGCTCTCTGTGTAGATGCAACATGTGGGCAACATGAGACTGGGCTGAAGGGCTCTGTGTCTTTTTCATTGAGGGGACCTCTTCCTCTTATCTTCTGACCATCCAGTTTAGAGACAAGATAGCAAGGCCCTATCTTGGTCCCCACCATCTTTTGAGGCAGACTTGCAACAAGAGTAGTAGCATTCAGTCCCCAGCAGAAAGGGGTAAACTTGCCCTAGCACTGCCCTTTGGAAGCAGTCTGTAAGGAGACCTATTCTTATAAGAACCAGGCCCAGACTCTTTTCTGACATGCTTGAGAAAGAAGAAGGGGTGATCAGCATTTAATAGTTTGCTTATCTTCCACTTCTGCCAGGAAATGTTTATTTTCTTCTAATTGGCCCTGAGAGACCACAAGGAGGTTGGGGCTCACTGAGGGATTGGCTAAGGATGTGTAAAGCAAAGGCTGTGAGAAGCAGCTGGGAGTTTGTTGTTGTTGGATTGAATTTCCTTTTTTGTTTCTCATCCACAACTTGAGCCAGGGCAGCAGGTCTCGGTGGCCTCAGTGGTGGATTTGAGGACTATAGAGCTTGTTAGGGCTGGCACCAGTGAATATGCATACTGAAGCTGCTGCCATAGTAGCCTATAAGGTTTTGTCCAGCTTTGGTTAGACCCTGCATGACCAAATTGGACCTGCTCTTTCTGTTTATTGCAAGAAGAGCATTTTTCTGTTCAATTTCCAGGGTGTCTTAGGACCCAATTCCTCATGATAGGGAAGAAGACCAAATTCTGTTTTTTCTTCCTTATGGAATTGAGCCTGACATTTTATATATCGTGTCAGAATCAGAGGCTTTGGCCTCCTTGCCTCCACTTCAGAGGAGGTGGCCATGTCTTCTTGAGCCTGTGGCCCTCAGAGGCTCTACCCTTCCAGGGCTCCTCCCATCTCCTTGCTAGTTACCACATATTGCCACTTGGGCTACCAGGTCTCTAGGGGCCTGAGAGAGGCTCTCTAGAGAATCCAGGGAAACTGTGAGCCCAGGAGTTGCCCATCATTGGTTTCATCCCTCCCCTGGTTCTTCTCTCCCTCTTCAGGCCATAATTTCCCTGGTGCCGACTTCTTTTCCTCCTGGGGCATCCTCATCCCTGGGCTCTCTGCTGCAGATTGGCTGTGCCAGTTTCCAGTAGTTCACTGGCAATGCCAGCAGGGTCTCTATAGGCCCTAAACTGAAGAAATGAGAGCAGTGGTTCAGCTCCATCCTGGCTTCCTTAGCACCTAGGGGAGAAGGTCTACAGTTGTTGTATTTTAATTCCATTACTTTAAGTCTGGAAAGTTCAACTAGTCAGAACTATCATCTTGCTTCTTAATCTAAGCACCTGTGGCCCTGGAAAAAGCCTTTTAAGAAGTGGTTCATTTTGCTTTACACAATAGGTCTGTTCCAACAGTTCTGTGTAAGCCAGATGCTATTTTTTTTTTTTTTTAATGCATTTGGACTGCTGACTATTTCAAAGCAGCCATGATTGCTTCTTTTGTAAAGCAAGCAACTTCCCTCTATTTTAGCTGTTTTGAATATTTGGATTTTCACATATTGGGCTTACCCAGAGTGGAACACAACTCCAGGGCTTGTGGCTGACGCTGGGTTGATGTCTGCATCTGTGCTGTGTGTGTGGTGTGGCTGGCCAGTAGGTGAGTATTCCTGCGTGTGTGAGTGAAGCCACTCCCAGGCTGGTGCTCTCCTCCTGTGCCCGGTGACTGCCCAGTGGCAGCCCAGCTGCCCTTCACTCCCACCTGCTGCCAAAGTCCCTGTACTAATGGGATTACAAAAACAAAAGTGGAAAAAGATTTTTCGTAAACTTTGTTTTATATTAAAAAAAAAAATCCATAAGTCTGTGTGTGTTAAACATGAGGTTCTGCCTCTGTGGCTGTGTTTGAAAAAATAAAGTTTTATTAGAATAATCCATTTTCCCAAGCAATCTTGTGTACTACAGTGTCTTTTTCCCTTACCCACAAAGAAAGGCAAGGAAGAGGCAGGGAGCAGGTCACCTAGCTAGCTTCTAATTCCTTTTTCTAAGACATGATTAGGCCTTTCACCACAGCAGATCAGATCCTATGGCCCAGACTTTTGTCAAGGCCTTGGTTATTTCTAGCAGTCTGATTTGTTCTCTGTCCCTGGCACTTATACCTATCCCCTCTTCCTTGCTTTCACTCTCACTTCCAGTGGGTTGAAGTCAGGTATTAATACATTTCAGTTCCCTGAGAAGTGCTTGATGGTATGGTTAGAAACTTGGTCTGGATTGGTTTACAGGCTTTGGGTGCAGGGAGAAAGCAGGGTGGGAAACAGCCAGGAATCTCTTTCTTTCTTAAGAGCTTTCACATGTTGTGTCCTGGAGGGATGGATATGTAGTCATCAGATTTCAGATTCCAAAGACCTGGGCAATTTCTCCATCCTAAAAATACTGCTTTTGGAAAATTATCCCAGCAGCAAAGCTTCTCTTTTGTCCTAGGGGATGGGTATTTTCCCTAATACTTCAATTTGGAGTGTTTGCTGAAAGAAGCTGTGTAGTTCAAGTCTTTAGACTTTTCTGTTCTACCCTTTGTCTTCTCCCTGTGTTAACCATCTTCTAATGTGTGTGAGTGAAATGTAGTAGCTTAGAGATCAGGCAAGAGCCCCATAGCCTTTCTTTATCAGTGGTGGTGTTGACTAGCCAGGCAGTAAGAGTCAAGTTGCTTAGCCTATGTCCTAGTTTCCTGCTTCAAATTGGTGACACTCATCATTGAATACTGATGAAGTGCACAGGAGGACAGGATTGGCTTGACTACCTGGAGCCTTTGCAAAGGTGAAAATACACCTTAGAAAGTATGGGACTTATCGCATTCCCTGGAAACAAAGGAGGGGCTTTGGAGGTGGGTTAGGGCTGTGGCATGTGATTAAAAGTGGCTTAGTATTAATTTTTTCTTCCTTCAAAACTGTTGTTGAGCCAAAGTTTGAACATCTAAAATGATTCTGTCTCCCTTTTTTCTTTTCTTTTGAATTTTATACTTGGATTTGTTTGTTTTTGGCAATGCTGGGGACTGAACCCAGGGCCTTGCACATGCTAGGCAAATGCTTTCCCACTGAGCTACATCCCAGCCCTATAATTGGGTTTTTCTACTGTTTATTTAATGTGAGGCCAAGTGTGATATCATTTTTCATTCCTGAAACCTCACTTGTATAGAAAAGAATGTAAACTCCATGAGGGCGAGGGTTTTGTTTTATTCTGTTGTGTCTGCAACACTTTGGAAAGTTCTTGGCACATGAAAAGTGTCTGACATATTTGTTGAATGAATTTCCCCTTTGCCCTTCCCATCCCTGAGCTTAAGTACATTTCTGTCTCCAGTGCTATGAGAAACCAGCCTTAGAGATTGGGGCAGTAATTAAAGCTCCATATGGGAGAAAATCCCAGCAGTTAATTTTTTTTTAAAAGATTTATTTTTTTAGTTGAAGTTGAACACAGTACCTTTATTTTATTTATTTATTTTTATGTAGTGCTGAGGATCAAACCCAGGGTGTCACATATGCTAGGTGAGAGCTCGACCGCTGAGCCACAACCCCAGCCCCAGCAGTTAATTAAAAAAAAAAAAATTTTTTTTAGTTGTAGATGGACACAATACCTTTATTTATTTGTTTTTATGTGGTGCTGAGAATCGAACCCAGTGCCTCGCACATGCTAGGCAAGCGCTCCACCACTGAGCTACAACTGCAGTCCCCCCCCCTTTTTTTTTTTTTCCTTTTTGTCTTGTTTTTGTTTTAGTTAATTTTGATAGAAAAGCTGCAAGGCAAAAAGGTCCTGTATGCATTCACCCTTGTTTTCCTCCTATGAACTACAATTTATGGTATGTGCTTTAAGTGGCGTCTCAGCCCCCAAAAAACATTCTCAGGCCTGAGGTTGACTGTGGAGATGGAAGTTACAAGAACGGGGAAAGAATGTTTTCTTGGTGCTCTATAGGGATAGTTCTAGAATGAGTTTCCTAGATGATTTTTATTTAAGTGTATATTTCTTGTCCCCCACCCCAGCCTTTGCTACAAGAAAAGTAGGACAAGGTTATGGAGTGGATAAAATGGGATAGGCACAGAAGACTTCAAGAAAGAACCAGCTACTTCTCTGTCTATAGGGCAAATTCATGAAATAAGCCACTTTTAGAGCCATAGTCATATCTTATTACTAGACCCTTTTTCTGGTTTGTATATACTCGAGTCTCTTCATCTATGAGATCATGGAACATGCTAGTCTGACATTTACCAATATTAAATAATTGAGGTTCCCCAGTGCATTGTGAAAACCAATTGGTCAAAAATTTCCACATCTTCCCTTCTCTACAGCCTCCCTTTCTAATCAGAAGAAATCAATATCCTATACCATGTATTAGATGAATTCAGTTAGGAGTTAGGGCCCTCAGCCCCACTACTTCCACGGTAAGATGAAATGCTACTGAATCAGGGAAGAGAACCCCTTTACTGCTGGTCTCTTTCCAATTCCCAAAAACTTTAGTTGAGAAACACCTACACTTAATAACACTGGCAGACTGGGAAGGGACAGAAGGGCCATAAGCTCGAGACAAAATACCAAGATGTTGGAGGCACATTGGTTTTCAACCAATGCAAAGAATTATCACATCCAATGAATATAGTATATTGGCTAACTGGAAAAGAACCAATGAAGTACTGGTACTATAGAATGGGACATTATCGTGTCATTGACCAATGAGAAGGAAGATATTGTGTACTGTGGACCAATGAAGGGAACATTTCCTAAAAGATGACAGGGAGGGTAGCTTGTATTTTGAGGATAGGAAATCAATGGGGTATTAAGGACACTAACTTCTTAGCTGAAAACATTCACCTCCAGATACCTTGCCCTTCATCACCCCACCCCATTAAAAGTCTTTGGTATTTGAGGAGGGTAGCTAAAACCTTCTCAGACATGGTCAGGGGACCCCCTGATGGAAGACTGGGACCAGGGATGGTGCTAAGGGGTACTGACGGACCCGCCCACTACCCCCAGAGCAGAACCTGCAATTCCCCTCCCGGCCGCAGGGGGCACTGCAGGCCCCGGGGAGGTTGGGGCGGAGCGCTGCGAGGGGCCCGGAGCTGCCGCCCCGCTCCGGAGCGCGGGGGGCGCTGTGCGGGCCCCGGGTTGCGGCTCCGCTCCCGGCCACGGGGGGCGCTGCGCAGCGCCGGTGGTTGGTGGTGGCTGTTGGGGGGGGTGGGGGGGAGCGGCGGCCGCGGGTGGTGCGGAGGGAGGCCTTGCGGGCGGATCGGGCGCTCGGCTGCGAAGGTGGTGGGAGGCGGCGGGCGGGAGCGCAGGTCTGGCCGGCCCTGGCGATGGCGGACGCGGCGGCCTCCCCGGTGGGCAAGCGGCTGCTGCTTCTGTTCGCGGACACCGCGGCCTCAGCTTCAGCCTCGGCCCCCGCGGCGGCGGTGGCGAGCGGAGATCCGGGGCCTGCGCTGCGCACTCGGGCCTGGCGGGCCGGCACGGTGCGGGCCATGAGCGGGGCGGTGCCCCAGGACCTAGCGGTGAGTGGCGGTCGAGACGTGCACTCGAGGCCGGGGCTGCAGGGCCTGTGGGCGGCCTCCCCGGGGGCCTTTGTGAGGGGGCGGTGTGGTGGGGGTGACCCAGTTCCTCACCCCCGGATCTCCTTAGCGCCCCCCGCCGGCACTTCGGCACCCCGAGCTCTGGCCTGCATGGCTTCCGCGTCGGGGTGCGCGCCCCAGTTAACCCCCGGAGGGCGGCCTGGGTGCCAGGAGCTGCTGCTTTTAGCCGGCAGGCCCCGCCTCCTGAGCGACCCTTTGCTAGGCGTCCCCTCCCCGCACCCCCCCTCCCGCAACACGCCTTCCGAGCAGGCTTTCGAACCTTGGTGCCGGGGCCCCGCAGAGTTCGGCCGGTGCTGCCGCTTTCCCCTAGAAAACGCGGACCTGTAATCCCCAGGTTCTCCCCGGAGACCTGCGCCCTGTTCCCTTCCTCCCGGAGTCTCTAGTGGGGCGAGAATGTGGGCAGTTGTAGGAAGGCAGTTGGAGCTGCTTGGGGCTTTTTTATCTGGCAGTTACTTCCTCCTTGTCTGAGCCGTGCTGGGCCTGGCGCTCTTCAGAAAGACCAGCTCTCAGGACTGTTTAGAGCTCCCCTATCTTTGCGCTTCTGGGTGACAGGAGCTGCTGTTGTGGCTTTTTGATAAGTTTGAGATCTGACTTAGTCGAATGGGGCTGCAGGGTGGTGCTTTTTTGCTCCCAGCTTGTCTGTTCCCCCAACCTTGAGAGAGGTTTTGTTTTGAAACTTTGTCGGGGCTTGGCTGCTTTTGCACGCTTGCCTTCATGTATTTTGTGATTAAAGTTGTTCAGCAAAAAACTTTGCCAGCATTGGGGACCATAATGTGTTAGTTTTGTTAATGTGGCGGCAAAATACTGTCTTTGAGTTTTAGCCAACCTCTATAGTTCCTCATTCTGGTAGCGTAGCCCTAGCCTTCTCTGGTGAGATAAGGCTAAGAAAAATGGGGGCGGGGGACTTTTTGGAATGTAAAGGATCAACAAGCCGAATGTAAATGTTGATGAATTTCCTTCTGCAGACCTTTTCTTAGCTCTAAACGGGAACTCATTTTGTGAGAGTGGGAGTAATGTTTCTGATGTTTTTCTATTGATCAACAGTGTTAAACTGTCTTTTATTATGATACACAAGCTTTATGGGTAGTTTTGCTTAGGTTTTGATTCTGCTTCTTGAGTTCCCTTGCTTTGATTTTTCTCCATGCCCTATAAGAAAGGCTGGTAGGGCATTTATGAAGCTTTAGTGGGGCGAATTTGTAAAAAGATACCAGGAATATAAGGGAGAGAGGGGGATCCATGGTTAAGACAGGAATTTGGATATAAATTCTTCTGTGCTTTCTTTAGAAGGTGACTGGGATGGGGGAGAGGTATGCTTCTTAGATTCAGTAATTCACCCTGGTA